TGAGTTTCAATAAATTTATGTAATGTTTCAAAAGATTTAAAATTTCCTTTTGAAAGTCGTTGTTTCCACAGAGTCATTTTTTTAATTATTGCAACAACTTTTTCCGATACTTTGAAAATATTTAAACCAAAGCCTTGCAAATTAAAATTCATTGAATGTAGCAAATATGTCGCACAAATAAGCTACTTTTATTAACCACTCGAAATCGTGGAATCTATCCTTAAATGGAAAAATAGCATCTTTTTTTAGATAGTGGGTGTTAAGAAATCCAAAGGCTTCGTCTTTTAGCTCAGACATTTTAAAACGTTTTCTTTTTGAAAGCTATTGTGAATTACAATACAAAAGGAGGTGTTTATGATCACACCCCATTTCCTTGCATAATTTGACAAAAAGTCTGCTATTTAATGAACAAGATTTTATGTAGTTTACACATTCTTCCGAAGTCACGTTTAAGTTTAAAGGCATTTGTTTTACTGCCAACGTTTGTTTATGGATACTACAGTGCACCTCTACCAAGTTAATTGCTAATTCTTGAATTTGTTTAAACAAACATTTATGAAGCCTACCCATTGCACGTGCACCATCGCTACTTGGCCCAACACACTTCATTCAATCAATACCGTGACTAGTGACAAAATCATTGGTAGCCTTAAAAATTTCATCCGAGGTCGTCAATATATCTGATAAAACACATTAGATTTGCATTATTCTCGATATCTGTGCTTTCATCTATTTGCAAGGGGAAAAAACTTGTTCTTTTTACTTGAGAAATTAATTCTTCTAAATGTTTCACACAATCATCAATTCTCCATTTAACAGTATTATTTGATAAAGGTATCGCCGAAAATAAACATTTTTCCTTTATTCCGCATAAATTATTTGCGACAATTTTCAAAGCGGGAAGTATTAATTTTTCTCCAGCACTATGAGGCTACCCAGTTTCAGCTATTAATTTGGAAATTTCAAAAGATGTCAAAGTGAGGTTCTTATTTGAATGGTGCGGTAAGAGTGTATTTTTCATTTTTTTTTTAGCAGCAATCAATTCATTTTTCTTATCAGTAAAAAAGTTAATTGGCTTATCAGAGTACTCAGAATGGAGTGTGTTTAAATGCCATTTCAACTTTGACAGTTTCATACTTTTATTTGAAAGCTGCTCATTGCAAATGACACATAGTGGCAAATAATTTTGACTGCTGCCGGCAATGAACCCCAAAGCGTAAAATATTCATCACAATAGTTGCGAGTCCAAGTAGTTTTACTCTTGTTATTTTGGTGCTGTATATCTGCTTTATGTGCTTCAGGCAGTTTCTTCACGATCATATTTGGCTTTGCTCGTGCTTAGTTGATCATATTTAAATCTGTGGTATTTCTTGATTAACCATTTATCCATTTTAAAAAAGGTTGAAATCTTTAATAGAAAGAATTTGTTTATTAATGATTTATAAGAAAAAGTATTTTTATTACTTACCAATATGAAGTTGCTATTAATAATAGGTAATAATAACTATTGTCAAATAAAATAGGTAACAAAAATTCAAACATAACCTTGTTTTGATACACCTGAGTTTATGGCGCATGTACCGGAGAAGGCATTGAATGACGAATTGAAATCAGCCAATCAGAGCATCCGAATTTAAACGGTCCAGTAGGAAACAGTGGTAAAGGGTTGCCACCTGCAGTTCTTGAAAAAGTTTCGAAAAATATTATATTTAGAGCAAAATGTTATCGACCTGGTGCCGGGTAGCAACACGCACTTTGGGAATTGCTGTTCTATACGATTTCAATTGTATTTTTAATTTTAAAAAAGTCACAAATCCATACTAAACCTCTTCTAAATTCCTTTGATACAAGAAAAACATAGACATAGATTTTGTTTTAATTACTGAGATCTATTAATGAGGTAACAGTGATATACGTAATTATTAAAAAACAACAAAAGCATGGTCTTTTATTAAAAAGAAAAAGGTTTAGTTAAAAATCAAAAATTAATGTTAAAAAATTATTTAACTTGTTTCCCCATTTGACAGATATCGAGAATTGTTTTTGTTATATAATTATTTTGCAATTTTTGTGTATGAAATAAACAAACAACTTGAATTTTGGTTTTGTTAAAAAATGAAATTTGTTTTCTAAAAAAAAAAAAAATTTTTTTTTATAAGGTGGGTCGCAAAAAAAATTTTTAATCTGATACCGGGCCGTGGTCAAAAAAGTTTGGGAAAGGCTGGTATAGAAGCATTTTTAAGAGTATTTTATTTTCAAGCAGTTTTTCCACAAGAAACACTCTTTTCTCCCATCTGCTTCAACCTACAACACACTTTTTGTATTAAAAGAAGATAAAAATTTTGTTTTGTAATCTGCTAAAGTTTCTAAACTTTATATTTAATACATTTCTAGATATTGAAATTTTAAATTTCTAAGCGATACATAGTCCAAAAATTGAATGAGTCCCCCCCCCTCTTTTTACTGTACGGAAAAACACTGTATGGGGGGGACATTTTTTATCTCCAGTGGGCGAGAACTTTTAAAGATATGCTCATTTTAAAATTATTTGGGGATATTGTTGTTGAACTGAATTTAAGTGCGAAAAACATGATCTCTACGTATAATGAAAGAAAGAGTCTTTCGTTCATGCTGCGCGTAAGCTAATAAACCCACGGCTACGAAATGTGGTACATAGGTGCATCTAGACAAGAGCCAGTGCACCTCGAAGAAATTTTTTCGAAATTTAAATTCAAATTTTTTTTTTTTTTATATTTTGTTACGAAATCGCGTCATTTTGAGACATAATGGGGGCTATAGGAAAGCGAGATTTTACTCTACACACTCCATTTTCACATCATCATGAAACATAAGCACTTGGCTTTTTTACGAACTTAAAATAAATTTTGTGTTTCAATAAATCAATTAAATACGAATTTATTTAACAAAGTGTGCTTAACACCTTTTCAACGGGGTTTTTTCTACAAAAAGTTTATTTTTAAAAATGTACAGTTTATTTTGCTTTGATTTTTGGACGTGTTAAACTTTCAGCCTTGTGACTGCTTTTACAAAAAGAATTTTGGAAAATGATATTTTGTATTTAAAAAAAATTTTTTTAATGAAGCTTCTGAGTCCACTTCTCACATCTTTAAAAATGTGATTTTGGCAACAATTTTCCTTTCTTATTGTTGTTGATAAATTTTTATGATATCCCATCATTTTGAATAGTTTCATTCTTTTAGAAATATGAGTTTGGCAACAATTTTTCATCATATTTCTTATGTGACTGTTTTTAAGAGATTGGCATATTTCATTGTCATTTTTTTATATATATAATACATTTTTATTGATTTTTTTGATAAAGTGCTTCTGCAGAGTAAAATTCTGCGTGGAATTTTTTGTTTTTTTGAGTTTCTTTCATGTTATTTTTTGCTTGTTTCACTATATGCAAGATATTGAAAAGTTTTGCATGATTTTTTTTTCTTCAACGGAAAGTTGGCTAATTTTTTTATTAGGATAATTAATATTTGTATTAAGGGATATAGCTTACTTCACTGTAATTTTTTTCTCTTGAAAATATAAGATAAAATATCATTAATTATACTTTGCTCTTCAGAATTTTTTGTTTTTTGTATTCTTTTATGTTATTTATTGCTCATTTCACTGTTTTTAAGATACTGAAAAGTTTTGAGTGATTTTTTTAGGAAACAAAGTTCTTAACCTCCTTTATACCATTTGAGTTCTTAAGATTTTGCAAAGGGAAGTTGGTTAATTTATTTGTTAGGATAATTAATATTTGCATTAAGGGATATTGCTTATTTCATTGTAATTTTGTTATACATAATAACTTTTTTTTTTTATAAAGTTGTTCTGAAGAATAAAATTCTATGCAGTTTTTAAATTTAACGTTTGGTGTTCCCTTCAGCCATTTTTCTGGTACATTTAAAAGCGAGACGAAGGCTGGCAGCAAAGCTGCTAGTATTTAATAAATAAAGGTAACACACAAAACATTAAAAAATGCCCCTTTGGACTTAATGTAAAATCTGAAAGCTTTCAAATTTTATTATTATTATATTTTTTAATTCTTAACTAGTATGGCATTAGTTCTAAAGATGTAAGCATTTTGTTTGACCTAATTAATTTTTAAATAATTTGAACTTAAAACCAGTCACATAATAGTATAATGCTAAATTTGTTCTTATCAAGTTCAAGTGTAATGAATTGCAGTTAATTAAGTCAAATATCTCTGTGATTATAAATTGAGCGGCAAACTTAGAAATTGCTAGTTTTAACAGATTAATTAAACTTTGATGTAGCTGTTGCTCATTGTGGAACCCTAGTATTTCAGTCATAATTTCTGTGAGGAGAAATATTAAATAACTGATATTGTTTTTAATGTTTTGAACTATTTGTAGCAAGATGATTACCCCTAATTTATATAGGCTATTGAAAAGTAATTCAATAGCCTATATAAATTTTAATTACACTGTATAAATGGTAATTACATATATAATAAAAATAGTTTTCAATGAGTTATTCTGTGGCATTAATCCCAAAGGAGACTACACTGTTAGATCACACCACTAGTCAAGAAAGGGAAAAGCATGTTCCATGATATTTAGTCTGAGGCATGGGGCATTCAACTTTTTTATTATTTATTTTTTTAAAAAAATATATTTAAACATTCTTTTTATATTTGAAGGGCTTTGTATTTTGACTCTTACTGCAGCTACGTTATGAAGTATCGTATTTAGCAACATAAGGCAATAGTTCATTCATTAATCATGGCCGTGGCAGATATTTTCAGGATTTCACAAGCTGCAAAGCATGTGATTGTATATCTTCTGAATGTAGTGAAATTATAAATAAATGAAAGGAATGTGTTCAAATTCGAGTTGCGTGATTTTTCAGCCACTTCATATTATTAGTTAGTCATAAAAATAACTATTTCTATCTATGTAATTATGTAATAAAAGTAGAATGATAGTTAAGAGAATGTAATTTTATTTTATTACTTTCAGATTCCATATGAGGTTGGCATCATTCGCCAGTTTCCATTTTCTTCTGGACTACAGCGGATGAGTGTGATATGTAGGACTCTAGGATCAAAGCACATGGATTTATATTGCAAAGGTGCTCCTGAAAAAATATCATCATTGTGCCTTTCTGAAACAGGTATTATTCATGTATCATATTTAAAAATTAAGTCGCTAAAAATAAAGCAATTTTGTTCAAATCTAAATGTAACTTAAACAGAGCAAGGTCAGCATCTTTTTTTTAACATTTGAATTAGTGACTAATTTACAATAATAACATTTTGTCTGACTTACTTAACAGCCTTGAGTCATGTGTTATTTTGCTATTTATACTAGAATGCTCTAAGTAGGTTTCAATAATTAAGTCAATTGCAAAATTTCTATTTATGCTTTTTGTCATCTGCGCCGGTAATGAAATCTGGTAGTTATAATGGAATTTTGTAAATAGCATACGAATTGCGATCCTCTGTGTATTTCTTTTTGGAATATTTGAAAGAGGTATGCAAGGAGGATAAAGTGTTATACTTTTTAATTGATATTTTTTCTATTTCAGTTCTACAATCAGAAAAGAAATACAAGTGCTAAAGATTTTACCATTAAAATTAATTTTGACTTAATTTTAATTTTGTTTTATGAGTCAACAGCTATTTTATTCAGAATGAAATGAAATAATTATATATTTTTTTTTAAATTTTATATATATATATATATTAAATTCTAAATTTTTACATGTATTAAGCTTTGAGGTTTTCAGATTCAGTAAAGTTAAAATTACTAATTAGAATTATCATCGGATTGAATTTATTATTGTTAATATTGTAACTTTTGTTAGTTTCATTCTAATATATAAAGCATATGTTTTTCTCTTACATAGCTAGATCAAAGAATACCGATGAATGGATATTTGTTTTGATGACTGAATAAATCTAGTGATACAGAATGTATTTTCATCATTTTTTGTTGCTGATGTATTTTTAATCAAGTTAACCATTTCAGCATGTAGACCTTTTATATTTTCACAGTAACTGATGTTGATAGTTTCTGTAAACAAACTTGTGGTGGTAGTGTAATTTTAAAGGTTTTTCCAGGTCTTTTTGTTAGTAAACAAAGTCTTACTAGCTTTAGTAACGCATTTATTTTAATTACTTAAAATCTTTTTTCTGCAGTGAGATAATATGTGCTTTTAAAAAAGATTTTTTTTTTTTTAAATTTGTCATAACCATGCATTGTCAAGCAGTTGTAAATATACCAGTCTGTGGTTTTGTTTGTTGCTTAAGTTCAGGAGAAACGACGTTCGGTGTAGTTGGTGTCACTGACAAAAGAGTTGAGATCTAACGGATGGCAAGTTCCATAGCAGTTCCTTTAATCATAGCTGCAAGAATGAATGTACAATGTTCTTCAATTCATTTAAAAAATAATTTATTACTTTCTGTGATATCGGATTTCTAACTAGGCAAGTTTTAATTGTCAATAAATTATGTTAAAAAAGGCAGAAGTAAAATCCAAGGAAGAGGAGCGAGTGTGGAGACCACTCTTTCGTTATTTTTGTCTGTCGCAAAATGCAAAGTTAATTTATTATAAGTTTCTGTGGGAAAAAATATTGTACTATTATTAATTAAATTGTTCTTTCTCAGAAGATAGGTCAAAAATAGCACTATTAGTCTGTCAGTCCTTTATGCCATGCTCAAGTCAAGCAGATAGTGGTAGAACCCTATTTCTAGCCAAAGAATTAATTGTTTGAAAAATTTGACTGCATAAACTGCTTTTGCAAAACAATCTTTTAATGGAAGCTAATTGCTGTACTGCTGTATAAGGTTTAAATTTCAAACAGAATGGGTATTTGTAAAAGTAGTTTTTTTTTTTTTTTTTTTTAATTTTATTTTATTATTTATTTATTTATTTATTTATTTATTTATTTTTTTTAAATTGGGTCTTATAAAAAGCATTCAGAAGTTGGTGGTAAGGGAAGAGGTATGTAAGACATTGGGTTTCTGTTCTTTAATATGCTTTCATTCAAAACTGGAATTATGGTTTGGCAATAAATATCCCTTACTTTTTGCACTCGTTGGGACTCGTTCAAAAGCGATTCCGGATTTCCGATTTTTCTGGATAATAGATCATCAATTTAAATCTGGTAAGATGGCATGGAGAAAGTATACAATTAAAAATATGAAATCATGATTTTTGAAATAAAGAACAATTATGATCTAAAGGATATCAAAATTTACAAAAAAAGTGTAATATTTATTTGTTTGCTTTATTAAACATTTCTTTCTGTGTAAGTTGTTGAAGTTGCTTCCCCAAAATTCAAAAAGGCTCCTTTTCCTTATGCCATATACAGTTGACTTTTTGCATAATGTCATACTCCTCCCATAAATTTGAGAATCCATTTTTTGCAGCAATTCCACTTTTTTGTTTAATGGACATCGAAACATGGTTTTGCTTTGTAGATCCTTTGGTAACTCCAGAATTGGAAACTCTTTTCGATATAATTGAAAGTTCAAGCTTAATTTCTATAAAATTGCTGTAATAATAACAGTCTGCAAAAAATAATAAGCTGGATCAAATTAGAAGATCAGGGAGCAGCGCACTCTGCTACATTAATTGAAAATGTCTTAGAATCAGAAGATAATTTTAGCCTAGCTTAATAGCGTCCATTATACATTATTGGCTGTCTATCTCAAGATTGGCGATGAAAGCCAAGTTGAGCCATGTTCACTAAATTTTGTCTTGCTCCTATTGTGTGCTGAATTAAACCTAAATTGTATTAGTTATTTAGTATACCTACGTTTATTTCTTGTACATGCTTAAAACAAATCTGAGTCCTGAATAAATAAACTCCAACACATACTTAAGGCTTTATTTAGGGCCGGCGCTAGATACCACCTGGTGCAGTCTCTGAATTCTGTCACAAAGTGCCTTCATAAGTTCTAAATTTTTGCTGTGCCTAAACTTTGGATCGCAGTGTTAAATTATAAAGAAGTTCTCATTCGTAAACTCTGCCGCCGCTTCAGGGTTTATGGTTAATAACGTATCATTTATTCATTATAAAATTAGCACTAAATGTAATCTTTTGGCCTATGAGTTTCGGTAACAAAATCTATTTTTAGCATATGAAAAGAAATTTTTGTTGAATTTTTTCTCGTCAACATTTCTTAGAGCATTTAAAAAATCTATAATCATCTTCAAGCGTAATGTTAGCAGAAAAGGTTGCCTTACTCTTGTTTTTCAAATACTAATGTAAAAAAAAAGTTTAGACATAACTGCTTGAGTTATTACCGAAGCTGTCTTGTATTGATAAACATGCGGTGATGAAAGCAAAATATAATAAGTAATGGCTCGTCAGGTGGGTATCATGGATATAAAATAGGTGAATGTTTCGGTTTGAGACGTAATGCCAAGCAGACACTCAACTACGGAGCCAAATTATTAATCTCACAAATTTATGCTTACAGGATTGTTTTTTCATAACGATGTATTTTATTTAGTGCCTAACTGAAATCAAGAAGCACATGCGTAAAACATACCCCCCCAAAAAAAAAAAAAAAAAAAAAAAAAAAAAAGATGCTTTGAAGTCCGGATTTTAGATCATTCCGCATAATGGATGTTCGGACTTTGTACTGTATATATTAGAATTAAAAAAATTACCAAATATGCCAAAAAGTGGGTGTGTTCCCTTTATTCATCAAATGATTGTTACATAAACTGTTTCATTTTCGAATAAAAATTTAGAGGTAAAATATTCTTTCCTTAAGCTTCTTTTTCTTTTTATTTGAACAGTATTCATAGATCATTGTTCAATTTCTAAATTGAACTGCTAGAAATGTTAAGGTTGTATTCTTTGTTGGATGCACATGTTTTCTAGTGTATTTAGAGTTCTCAACTTAGATTGATCGCTAGTATAGTCATGTACATGTATGTGCATGTGAACTGTAACAACAGATGCACACTCTTGCTGCTGACTTTGATAGTTTGCACTTAAAATTGGGTAGGAAAAAGATGAAAATGTCATACAGGATTTCATAACAGCCTGGGTTAAAAAGTTAGAAGAAGCCCTCATTTGTCCCACGTTATGGATTTTGTCCACTCTTGCTCTAAGCTATCTATGGATCAGCAAGACCTTCTGTGCTACTGAAATTGGATCCAGTCCACCATCAAGCTCTACAGATTTGCTGTGGAGCCTTCAGAACATTTTCAGTCCAGTAAATTGAATTTACAAGGAAAAATAAGGCTGATGATGATATTCCATGAGCAATTGAGTTTATATGTCATCTGTTTTGAACCATCTTTGGAATTCAGATGCAAGCAGTTGTCCATTGATGTTCATTATAAAGTAATGTCACAGGCCTAACATCCTGTCCGAAGGACAGGCTTGGTAAAGCACTGGTGTCTTTACCAAGCCTGTCTTTCATGTATCTCACCTTTTGATCTTCGCATTCACTCACTGATTGAAGAGTTCAACCTAAATGATCTGCATCCCAAAAACTTTGACATTTTCGGTATTGCTCCCTGGCAAGAAGTGAACATTCACCTGCTTAACATTTTTGGAGAACTAAAGAAGAGCAGTACCAATGATATCCAATATCAACAAATTTTCCTAGAGCATAGAAGCGTTATTCTAACTACAAAGCAATTTTTACTGATGGCTCAAAGAATATGATCATGTCGAGGCAGCTTTTGTTTGTGATAAAGAAATAAAGAGTAGTAAACTTCATAAGGCTGCATCTGTCTTTACTGTGGAAACTTTTGCCATGTTGAATTCCTTAATCTTTATCTGTAGGCAAAATAGCAGAAAGTTCATCATTTACTCTGATTCTCTGAGTGCTCTTGAATCAATAAATATAAATACGTGCCACCCTTTGGTCCTAGAAATTTTAAAGGCACACCTCTGTTTGAGAAACGCAGGTTATTATATTGCATACTGCTGGGTGTCTGGACTTGCTGGCATCAAAGGCAATGAACTCGCCGATATCACAGCAAAATCTGCTGATATTACCTCAGAAAATGATGTCCCTTTTACAGACATACAGAATTACATCAGAGCAAAGATCTTGTCCAGGTGGCAACAATACTGGGAATGCCAAACTCTGAACAAATTAAGGCATGTAAAACCCAATTTGGAGTACTGGGAGTCGAGAGGGAATCGGAAGGAGGATGTACTACTGACTTGCCTACGAATTGGTCATTGCAGACTGACACATCAGTATCTCTTAAAAGGAGATAATGGGCCTATTTTTGGCACTTGCAACGATCCCGTTTCAGTCCATAACATTTTAATCTGCTGTCCTGCTTTTAGTCAGAAACGTGAATTTTATTTTAACTCTACAAATGTTATCTTAACAGATCTCATTGGAAGAAACCCTCACATCAACCTCATAAGATATTTAAAAGACATCTCTTTTTACTATATGATATAAACTACATTTTATCCTGCTCTACCTGTTGCTAGAGCATTTCTCGGTCATTTCTCCATGCCTTCATCTCATTGGAAGAAACCCCCACATCAGCCTCATAAGCTTTTTTTTAAAAAACATCCTTTTTTACATCTGATTGAAGTATTTCCTTTACTATCTACTGTGCTAGGTGAATGGACAATTCAAAGTTATTTCTTCATGCCTTCATCAACATCTCAGGTCCGTTTCATCAATTCACTTGATACATCTTGAATTTTATTCACCGTTTGTCTGGTGCATAATAACCCTCGAGGTTTTGTGCTATTAAAAAATCAATCAACCAACCAACCTGCTTTAAGCAGGGTGCATTTATATGCATACAGGCATGTGCAATTTATGTCATTAATATAATCATTCATACTTTTATTTTCAGTGCCTGAAACATTTCCGGAGTTGTTGAAAGATTATGCTTTGCAAGGTTACAGAGTTATAGCATTGGCTTATCGCAAATTAGATCCAAAGCTAAGTTGGCATCATGCTCAAAAAATTAAACGGTGAGTTCTGTTTTAAAAATTATTCTTATGCCATTTTAATGTTTCAGATTGAAGTAACACTTCTTATTAATTTTTATTTTAGTGATCAAGTTGAGAAAGATTTGACATTCTTGGGGTTGTTAATAATGCAGAATACATTAAAGCCTGAAACTACACCTGTTATAAAGGTTTTGCAAGATGCAAAAATAAGATGTGTTATGGTCACAGGTAATATGAAGTTATACTTTAAAATTAGTACATGGACAACTTATTAAAAATATGAAAACAAACTTACTTTTCTATGCTAAATAGGAGATAATATAATGACAGCAATGAGTGTAGCCCGAGATTGCAATATGATCCCAGGAACAGACAAAATAATGATTATCAAGGGCACTCCTAGTGATTACGAGAAACCAGCTCATTTATATTTTGAGTATGCTGAAACTCCATGTATGCGAAATTCAGATTCTACTATTTCGGAAGCAGTTTCAGTTGGAAGTTGCAGTCCCATGGTAAGTTATCATCTAAGCTACAAATTTTAATTATTTTATAATATCAGACTCATATATCCAGATACTTAGTCTGATATATGTACTCAAATTATGCCTAAATATTAAATTTTGTGAAATTTGGTGCAAAATTTACAGAGAAATTCAAAATTGCCAAGGTTCCCCCCTTGCAGTTTGCAGCAAGAATTATTCACTTAGCAAACTTCTTAATTTATCGCAACCTCTTCCCCCCCCCCATTTTTACATTGTGCACGAGGGGGAAAAGTCACATCGTTCCTACTTTCAAATAATTTTAACTAAATGCCCAAACCGCATTTGTTGTTTTGGGCATTTAGTTAGCATTCCCATAGTTGTTTTGGGCGTTAGCACATTTCACGCTTTCAACAAATTTCGAAACTCGCCAATATATAAATTCTTGTATATCTTTGGAAATTTCAAATAAAAAGCTCTAATTTTTTTTCAGGTATACTTAGAAATACATCTACTTTAAGATCATGAAAAAAATTTTATAGGTTATAATTCAATTTTTTTTTGTAAAAATTTATAAAAATTATTTGAAAATACAAATTTTAAAAATAAATGCCTAAATAATTAAAAATTCGCCATGTGTTTGGAAGGAGGTTGTGTTGTGGATTATGGCAAAGCCGAGGGCATGCTAATGGAGGATGCCTCGTGGAGGACTTTCTAGGGAACTAGATGTATAACGTGAACATGGGAAAACCACGAAACGCCCAGCAGCCCGTTCGTGGATTCGAACCTCGGACCGAATACAGTGTCAGCGACTTTACGCTGGCCGCTGTGGGCCTGTGTTTGGAAGGAACTAATTCGAAATGTGAAAGGAAAGGACAAATAGTTAATAAAAAGAAAGACATTAATAAATATGTACCAAATCAATAATTGAGAGCTAGATTTTAAAGAATTGTTAAAAACTACTCGTGATTTTTACGAACTTAGCAGTTGCATAATTCGAGTCGTAGAATAAAATATGGAAAAAAAATGGATGTCATTCAGAAAAGTCAGTGTTGTGTCAAAATACCTATATTAGAACAATGCTATGTATAAATCTAATACATGTCCTAAGTCATGCTTTCGAGACATGAGAAATGCAAGTTGAATTTAGTCAATCGACCTAGTGGAACGGGGGATATAAAACTGTCCCCCACTTTTTTTTTTTTTTTTCACAGTGTAGATATAAGTCAGCTGTGTTTTTAATAATTTATATGTAGCTTAAAAGAAAAAATGATATCTAAATACGGTTAGTTTGAACTGAAGTGAACAGGGTGCATGCTTGGTTTTCATGGTTTCCTTCTATGTAACTGAATACAAGAATACAAGTTAGTTTCCTGTAGAAAATCCTCCGCAAAGGCATACTTCCTCTTAGGCATATAGCTCTCAATAACTTTGCCATATTCCAGTTATCTAGCATAACCATTTCTGTCTGTAGCATCACTGATAAGTAACAAACAGGCTACAAACATGTCAGTAAGTTCCATGTTTGTAGCGGTGCATTCAACTCGAAAATCATGCACAGAAGGAGGGTTTATACTAGTGGATAGGTTTTACCTACTGATCTTAACAGCATCTTGTATCACCTCAATATACTGTTTCTGCTTCCTGCAAAATCTGCTTATTTTAGTCTTTACATTTTAATCAGATACAGTCAAAAGTCGTTAATTCGGACACCCATAATTCGGAATGATCTATAATCCGGACCTCAAAACTAAAAACTTTCTGCGCATGCGCCGCGTCGACACATGCGCATAGGCGTTACGCGTGCGCGTAAGCTTTTCGCTGCGCATATGAGTGTGCGCAAGTGCAGAATACGTTTTCGCGTGCGTTTTAGTATAAGGACGTTAAGGTAAAATATCTAATTATCATTCAGTTAATGGATGATTGCGTGGTTCCTTATTTCGAATTGGATCCGGCTTATTATTTTTGATCTGTAGAGCATTTTATGAAAAGTAGCTTAAACTTAGATTATATCAAATAGAATTTCGAATATATTGTTATGTTAAAGGATTAAAACGAAAGATGTTTTGAAATCCGAAATCTGTTATCAATTTCACGCGCTCGGCGGGGGATCCGCGGCGGGGCGTTAATGAATGGAAGTTGATCTGTCAACACTATCCTTATCTCCGCGCCCCTGTTTTTTTTATTTGGCTTCTATTCCTACCAAATTGTATTTCATCGCGCTTGCTCCCGCTTGATGATTTCCCCCAAGTTCCCGTCATTCTACTTCGCTTTCGCTCGCGAAGGAAGTGCAGCGGTTCTTGGCCCGCGAAAATTTCGCTTGCCCCCTAGTGGTGTTCGCCCAGCATTATAGGCTTGCCCGCGGCCCTTTTGTCCTGAAATATGTTGTTCCTAGCCTTCCCGCGCCCGTTATACAGCCCGCCGGCTTACATGCAGACAGTTATCAAGTCCCCTCTAATGTTCTTTTTCTTTTGCCCTTGATCCCTTCGCTCAAATTGTTCTTTATTCATAAATTGGTTTCATATTTTTAATTTAGAATTTCTGATGGCCTCTTACGAGATTTACCCTGGTGATCTATAATCCGGAAAAATCGATAATCCGGAATCGCCGAAGTCCCGACGAGTCCGGATTAACGACTTTTGACTGTATTTTAGTATTGCCTTAAGTAAGCAAAGTGAATACTTTATGATGTCTGTCTACTGTGCTCGATGTATAAATATGTTTAAAAAAACAAACCAGAAGTCACTACTAATGCAGCAAGACTATCTGTAAATTCCTTGAACTAAATGTGTTGAAATATGAATTATGTCCAAATGTATGCATATAATTCCTATGTGAGCTCTGCATGATATGCATTAATATATCAGAAAAGCACAGAGCCATTAGATTTGTTATAGCAAATGACTTCCATTGTTACTGAGGCATCTTATTTTATTAACTCCTGCATCCAATATTGAAAATGAATTGTGAAAACCGGGTTTCTTATAAAGTTTTGTTTTAAATTTTATTGATTTATCGTAGCCTAAATGACAGAAAATATAATTGAAAATTCAATCTTTCATTTGAAGGAGACAGTATAAATTCAAGTATAAATGCTTTTAACAAATTTTTTTTTTTTTTTTAGATTTATTTTATATTTTTTCAGGAGAGCTAATTAATCATATTTTAATGAATCACTTTCTTCAAGTACTTACTCTTTTTTTCTTTGTAGCTGGACAAAGTTGTTAATTCCAAGAATCATTACCACTTTGTTTTGGATGGGAAAGCTTTTGCTGTTATGAGAACTTACTTTCCTGAAGTATTTCCAAAAGTGAGTTTTAAAAAACATAATTTTTTTTTTCAAAGAATTTTTGCATATACTGATTAAAATATGTAAGATCTGAAGAGTTTAGTTAAAAACTCGGATGTAAAAATGATTATCTCTGATTTTAATCTACTGATTGTATATACAGGCTTTTTTTATAGAGTTTGGTTTTTTCAAGCTAACTTGTAATATTTTAAAAGCTTCTTGAATTGTAATTCTTTTTATGGCCTTAAAAATTGTACTAGATTTGTTTCTTCGTAATACTTGAAACTGCTGCCTAGAACTTGTACAGTTTAGGCTTAACTTTTAACGCTAGAAGTACTGAAGCCATATGAAAGACCATCAGGAAAGGTGAACAGATGTATAGAATTAAATAAAGTAAAAGATGAATAAAAAAATAATTAAGCTATATTGATCATAAATGATTAAACAGTAAATTGTAATATAACAGGGCAATTTGTTTAGGGATTACAGTTTTGTTAAGAAATTTAAGAAAATGAGAAGTTGTGCTCCAGGTGAATTTAAGGCCTGTGTGTATGAGGGTTATTAATACTTTAATTCTCATTATATTAAATTGTTTGATATTCATCAAATTTTAAAACTGATAAATATAAAATTATTTTAAAAAAATACAAAATCTAATTCTTAAAGAAATCATGCAAGATAGAGCTTGTATGTAATACCACTGAATAAAGATTTTTTTTTACAGCTAAAATGTGAGGTCAGCAGTTTTTGTGTTGTATAATCTATATCAGAACAGTTAATTTTAATTAGAGAAGGAAAATATCAATTTTATCGATATTGATAATGGCCTATCAGGAAATTGGAATTTTTCTTATCAATTTAAGAAAGATCAAAACTATCTATGGTGATGTTTTTTAGCCTTGTATTATATCTCATTTTGTTTATATAATCAATTCAGCAATTGTTTTAGAATGTTTTAATGTTTTCCTTATGTAATATGTAGGATATAAACTTCCATTGCCAAAGAAAGTTCATATTTGTTATGAATGTTAACATTACCATGTACATTTTTTATATGAAAAATGTATGTCTATTAACTGCTGATACATTTTCTGGCCCAAAAAATTCAGTATGTAAATTTAAACATGCATGTGTTGAAGATGAAGTAATTTGCTTAAATATTGCGTTATGTACATGAATTATGCTAACTGAACCTGTAACTAATTATTTTAAAACATCTGCAATTAAAGGAATTAATGTAATCTTGAAAAATATGTTAGAAAGTTTAGAATCTATCAAATTGTTGACTTGCTAGGAGATTGAAATCATTATCCTCGGATTGTGAAATGTTCAGTATGTAATTAAATCTTTGAAAGGTGACAGCTTCCAAAATCATAAATTAGTCCTGCATAATCATGATGGCAGTTCTCTGAAGCCATTTGTGCAGTCTAATGGGGAAATCTAATTTAACTTGGATAAAGTTTAATATGGGATGCAAGACCACTTCCATTCATATAGTGAGATAAGAATTCGAAAATCGGTATTAGACAGCTCTATATGAGAAGAAAGCCTTTTGTGAGACTAAGTAATAAGGTTCCTACATGTTAAGGAACATCAAAGGCGCACTAGCTACTGAAGTAGCTGAATGCCATTAATTCAGGCTTCAAACCCTACACTAAATGGAAATTTTCATGGTTTCCCTTCCCCCCCCATGTGAAACACATGCATTTTTCCTTAAAAGTTCTTTATGAAAGCATCCATTCCTTAGGTAGATAGCCCTTTCATGCTTTATATAATCCAAATAATGCAATCGTGAAAAATATAAAATTCAGACTTCAGAAAATAGGGAAACATTATGTGGCGTAATGAGCCACAATTTGTATTGTTTAAACATAGTTATAGAACCTGTATTAGAAGGGAATCAAACAAAACATTGTGCCCTTTGGCTCTGCTTTGCAAGCCTCAGGATGAAGTGTTATGATTTGGAATTTTTTTTTCCCTCTCTGGGTGGTGTATGTGATTATGGCAAAGCCTCGAGGGCTATCTGCCTAAAGGGAGGGATGCCTTTCGTGGAGGACTTTCTAAGGGAAACTGGCTCGTATACACGTTACAAACATATGGGGGGGGAAAAACACGAAACCGCCCATGCAGACAGCCCGTTCGGGGCGATGGATTCGACTCGGATTCGCACTTACCATGTGTTCAGCGACTTTTACGCTCGGACGCATGGTTGGGCCACCCTCTTCGGAGTGGATAATATGGAATATGAAAATGAAACCAAATAATCATTTTATCTCATTTAATTTTTTTTTTTTTTTTTTTTTTTTTGTGTGTGTGTGTGCGCCATGTGTTTGTTGTTGTTCTTGAAAGCTATGGTCTCTTCCAAGATAATAATGTCAAGATTTCTCTAGCTAAAGCTATGAGTGCGGTTTGAGGAGTACTAGATTTTGTTGTACATGGAACTGAGTGTAATCAATCCAGAGTGTAGATAGGAGAGTGGTCCTGCTCTGCTCTAATTGGTGATCCCAAAGAACATTCTTTGGAAGGTGTCTGTTGTTTAAAATGGAGTATATTAAAACAGGAAGTTTTTTCCCCTTGTTCTATAACATATATTTTTCGTTATTTCAGTATTCATTAATTTTAATAGTAATTTTTTAATAGAACATTTTAACTTCTTTCTGGTAAATAATTATGTTAAGTTTTCTGTAAAAAAAATCCAGTGGCTTTGTCTCTAAATTATTTGAAAGGGCTAATTTTGAGTCCTTTCAAATGTTCTGTCTGGAATAGTACTCTTTTTAAGATGGAAGCCATCTTTTATCTCCTGTGTTTTGTACAAATGTTGACTGAATTTTCTTTTGTTCTTTGGTGTCTTTAGTCTTCGCTCCCCTTTTAGTTTCCATGATGTTTCATAAGTTACTTTCTTTATAATTGCATTGACATAAAAATGTGTTTGTATAAATTATTTTAGGTTTTGCTTCGAGGAACAGTATTTGCAAGAATGGCTCCTGATCAGAAAACTCAGCTTGTAGAAGCTCTACAAGAAATAAAGTAAAAAAAAAAAAAAAAAAAAAAAAAAAAAAAAAGGAACTTTATCTTTCTTTTTAATTAAAAATTTGACTCTCATGAAAGTTTAAAACTAAAATACCCTTTAATGGCAGTTCTATGTTTAATTAAAAATATTATAGACTCTTATTAAATCTTGTTTTAAATGGATTTTGTTTTGATTGTCCATTTCTACAATAAATGTTTTTCGTGAATTGACCTTCATTACCAATTTTGAGGAAGAGGTAGACAGGATAATACATCAACACAAATAAGAGCACTACTAATTAGTTATAACTTTTGAAGGTCAATAATCATGCATTTCTTTCTATATCATGAAAAATGTGTTTATTTTCTTGATTAAAATTTGATAGGCTGTCTGATTGCTTATCCTGTATGTTTGAAGTATAGACTATTTCTGTAAAACAATGCAAAAAGTTTTATAGATATCATTAATATGATCAGAATTTTATATTTATTATATTGAAATTGAGATTTTTAACTCTGCTGTTAATGATCTTGTATTTATTTGGAGAAAGTTTTAAAAAAGAATGCCCACCCCCTCGGTTAATAAGAGTAAATTATTTTTAGTCTCTTCATTACCACCTTGATCATTATTAAAAAAAGGTTTTTTAAATCATGAATCCAAAATAGATTGCTACTGAAAGCATTCTTCAGTTCAAACACTCAGAAATGTTTGTGTGCTTTCAGTGTGTTTTTATGATTTCAGCAGTTTGATTATTGATTCACAACATTGATTTTGTGTTACTAAAATGGCTTCTAAAATTATTGATTTTGATTTCTTTAGCGATTGCTTTAAAAGCACAAGTAAATGTAAGCAGTTTTTAATTAGTGACCCTTAATGTTTTGGAAAGCTCAGAAACTTCATTAAATTCAGTAACGTATAAAAATATTGATGATACATTTTAATATATTATAAAAGATTTGTTATTTTAAAGTGTAGGGTAATGTATATTGTATCTGTCAATTTTTAAATAGCAACAGAAAGATGTTATGTGCATATAGTAATTTGAATTGATTCTGAAATAATGGTATACATGCAGGCATTTATTGTAGTGTATAATGTGGACAACAGACATCAGTGAACCTTGAAAATAACACTATTCAAGATGATGCAGGAAAGCTTTTATAAATTGTTTCAACATGTCTTGTGGCATACAGCCATACTTCTGCTTACCATTACATTATCCTTTTGGAACCAAATTGTGTCCTTCATCTGTCTTGCCCAGAATTCTGCTAATTGTCACTGTTTCTCCTCGGTGCTATTCAGCCAGTATAGTGGTGAGTGATGCTGATAGCTGTACCAGTGTGCCTAGATTGGAATCCCAGAAAAGGTATAAATGTTTGTAATAGTATAGTATCTATGTGGTGAGGGGCATTTAAAATAAACAGACAGCCAAAAGTCCTCTCAAGCGATTGATGATAAGAGAAGAGGGGTAGGAAACCCTTCGAATGCCCCCTTCTGGGTGTTCTACGTCAAAATTGAGATGGAGTTTAACACTTAACAGAGCCCAGTAATGACTAATTTTTATGGAGGGAATGCACAGGTGTTCCTTCCTTTCACCTGTTCTTCGTCTGCAATACCATCACTGCCACAGCATGTTCTGATGAGAGTTTCTACTGCCACAGTCTTAAACTGCAGTGGGCAGCAGTCTATGGTATATCATAACTATTATCTCTCCTGACAGATCAAAGAATCTCTCATTTTAATTAATTTCCCAGAAACTAATTGAATTATTGAAGTTTAAATTGCATAAATTCCATTCCCTCATCCCTTGTGATTTTCAGCATAATTTTTCTTACTAAATTTTATTTGATTTGAATTGCCTTAATCTACTGTAGACATTTGTAAAAAGATTCAAGCAGCATTTTGTCAGTTAATATTTGATATAATTTTGCTTGGATGAATATGTAGCACTTTATTAAGTTTATCCACACAATACTTTGTGCATTAATTATTAGTTTTTTCATCATATTGAAAAGTACTTGGATAAATAAAAGCTTTTCTCCCGTACTCAAGGTTTCCTCAGTATAAACATCCGAAGTGAAATTAACCAAAGAATTTAAAATTTGGAGTATTTAAATAATGTGTTTTATATCAAAATCATGTTATGAATAGTTCAGGAACCTAAATCATATATTATAAACTGAATTTACAACAGTTTAGAGTCTTTTTGAAATGAATATCGCCAAAAGGGTGAAAACTGTTTGAGCACCTGGTTTTCCATTTTTTAATGATGACAGCTATGTATACTAATTGCCTGACTCCTAACTCTGTGTGAGTATGTAGATAAGTCACACATAGGCACATGCATTCCCTCAGGATTGCCAGCTCAGACTGGTAAATATGGGGATATCTTACATAATATCTTTTATAAACATGAAAAAAATCTATGTTATTTTAGGCAATTCAGTTACTTAATAATTCAAAAGATTTTAAGTTCTGCTGGGTTCACTTTTGTTACATGGTTAAAATTAAGGGAATTTTTCAAAACAAACTGATATGTAATTATTTATTATGCACATTTAAAGCTCGTATATTTCTGTAAGGCTGGTGATGTTTTTCTCGTCTATACTTTTTTGCAGATATGATAAAGATTAAATGCATTTTAAAAATCTCCAAACTCTTTGAAATGACATATGAAACAATTTATATTATTTGCTAAAAAATTAAACAGCTGCATGAATTGTATATGGTTAAAATATCTTTATATAGCATTAGAAAGTGCTTAGCATGAATTAGCATTTTAAGGTGTGTGAGTTCTGTACACTAAAGTGTCTGACTACACTACTGTTACTGTACCATGCAAGGTATAATATATTTTGTGCTATAATTCTGATCAAATGACTATTTCTTTATTTTATGCACATTGTTGCTTGTTATGTTTGAATTAACACTGTATAATAAGTATTATAATAATTAGCTGCTTTAATTTTTCTTTGTTTCAGTTACGTAGTTGGAATGTGTGGAGATGGTGCAAACGATTGTGGGGTAAGTTTTATAATCTTGGAAAGTTTAACATTTTAAAATAACTGGCTTAGAATTCTTAACGTACAAAAAAAAAAAAAAAAAAAAAAAAAAAAAAAAAAATTATAAATTCCAAATAATCTGTTTAAAACATAGTTTGCATTTTCATTAAGGTTTATTAATGGTGATGAGATATCATATTTTATTTTCTGAAGTTTAATACATTTTTTATAGCTGTATTAATATTTTCTTTGAAGGTGAGTTAGAAATTTATTTATAATGGCATTAGTAAACATGTAAAGTTAAATAAATAAATACAACACTTGAGTATACTAGTGTTATGTGTTAATAAATTATAATGGAGTGAAATATGTTTCTGTAGAATGTTATAATTTGTTCATGCTAAAATGCCACTAATGTGCTTTTTCCAGTTCCCCTGTTTTATATATGCTGGGCAACAGTCCTAATAAATCGTCAATCCTTCTTCTATGAAATCGACTATTTTTGTCATGAGTATGGTTGCCTGTGTGTTTGGAAGAATGAGAAAGAATTCATAATTTTCTTGCCATAACCTATCAAATCCAGTGTTGTTTTAAAATGCTGCTGATTTTGTTTCACCTCCCCCCCCCTCCTTGGGACGAATGGGTTTTTGTTTATGTCCACAATTTGAAATTTCTTCCGGGGCCACTTATTAGCTTCTTTGGTTGCAGAAAATGCACTTCTTTCATGAAACTGTTGTAGTCAATAGTTGTGTTTTCATAAATGCTAATGTCTTTCTCAGTGATAAATAAATTGCTATGCTGTTATAAAACCAGTATGCCTTTTGTGAGGACGTATGCTTTTTATTCATATGCAATTTTTCACATATTTGAATGCAAGATAAAATGTGTCTTCCTCTAAAGAAAGATATAGCAACTGCCTCACTTCTCAGTAAATCAAACGTCTCATGACGAGAGAATTATAAGGAACTATGAACTGTCAACATTTATATGAAGAATAAAATAATATGGTTTGCTGTATGCTCCTCCTGTTATAAGCAAATTATGAATGATCATGATTAGAACTGTTGGTCATTTGAAAGTAGTTTTGATAGTGATTTATTAGTAATCTAGGCACCTTTTGTAAAAATAAAGTGTGGTGTTTAAACTAGAGTTTTCTTATTCAATATTAATTTGAGTTACAGAGAATGTTCCACTCATTAGTGAACCCTGCATTTCATTAATAATTTAAATATTAATGAAGATACTATAATGAAATTTGCACAAGTGTATGTTTATTGTGTGCAAAATCAAATGTATCTGTAATATGGCACTTAATTGCTTTGATACAAAGTTGAAGTTCACCATCCAGCCAGGATCTTTAGCCAGTCTTTCTCCTGTCTGATCAGCTTTTGCTGGTTTCATTTTGCTTATCATTTAGCTGAATGTTTCCATCCAGTTTTGTTCTTTGTGAGTGTTTGCACGCATAATAATTGAAAAATATATCAATAGAGAATTTTATTCAGTACTTATGCAAAAATGTCATCCAAAATGATCAGAAGAAACAATCAAAAATCTGTAAAGCTGACTAATTTCTGAAATTACTTTCCTGACCTCAGTTAGAATCAGGGTTTTTCAATAGCACTTTTCATCATGATGGGGGGGGGAAAGCTTTATGTGTAATTTATGCATTTTTTCCGTAGTTTTTTTTTTTAATTAAAAGAGTCTGATTAAGAGAAAAGAGTGGCATACTTCAAGTGGTTTTGTATTAGATAAGACATTATTTCACCTATTAGGACAAACTTGCTTATTCTAACAATTTCTGTATTTGATCGAATGAAAATTCCCAACCTAATTGATGAAAAGCCGTTTCTTTCCAAAAAGACTATTGTTTGATATGGACCTTTCCAGTGGTGCATAATTGCACGAACTTTCAATACAACTATTACAACAGTGGTATTTGCTGATCTTCGACAACTTTATACATCAATCGGACAATATATAACTCTCTTTTGACCTTTTTTCCTGTAGGCTCTAATAGCATGTCGTGTACCCTAGTCAGCAATGCCAAATTAAGTCCATTTTCGATTGTGTTATTTTAGTGGATTTTCGCTTATGCACTCACCTTATCTGAAGCTACCTAATAATTTTAAAGAGAATATTTGAAAGGTCTTTATGCAATAAACCACAAACCAAAGATGTCTTGAAAGCAAATATGAATGAAGAAATTCAGACAGTGACAGCAGTAGCAATCACATTAGCAGGAAGTGCCGAAATGTGGTGTGTATGCTGAATGTTTGCTGGACTTAACTGATGTCTACTCATTTCGCCTTATATATATGTATATAAACTGAAAGGTTTCATATTTTAAATTATGCCCAAATTATGTTTTTTTTTACATTTTGTGTGTTACCTTTATTTATTAAATATCATGTTCTTTCCACATAAACCATAAATTAGTTCACAGCAATATTAGAATAATTTTAAAATGAGCTATCTTTAGAATTTCGATGACCACATTTTCCACGTAAAAAAGAGCCCCCCCCCCCCCCCATTGCTCGCTTTTAAAACGTCGAGTTTGTTAATCAAAAAGTCGTTAAAGTTTTACAAAATATTAAATAGGTAATAAAACAATTTCCAAATTTGGGCTTCCATGCCCATATTCAGGTGGAAACGTACATTATTCAAAATTGGATGGGTCTAGGTACCATTATTTTATCACAATGCAAGAAACATGTATATATTTATGCAGATTCTCCATTATCTAACCTCTTTAAATATAATACAGGGCAATAATATTTGGTGGCAACAATTTGAAAAGCGAATCGGACATTAGATAAGTACTGTTTCACATTTCATTGCAATATCTTCATTCATATCAAAATTATTAAAGATATTCTGAGTTCAGTAGCAGGTAGGAATTATGTTTGAAAGCCACTGTATACAGTTGCCATACTTTTTGGGGGCCCTTGTGGTTGCATTCTGTGTGAAAGTGCTTGCTAAATAAATGTGCTCTATATCATATTAATTTAAAAAAAATTTGAAACTGTTTAAGATTCTGAGTTTATGAGAGATGCAGTTTTTAATGACATGTTCAGGTAGAGAAAGCAACATGTTTTTTATATCAAATATCATCTGAATGTATCAGTACACATCCGGCTAATTTACCATTCTAGAAAAAGTATAATGACTTTTTTATGAACTTGATTTGTATTATAGACTTATCTTTCTTTACTGATTTCTTTCAGGCCTTAAAAGCTGCTGATGTTGGGATTTCACTTTCTGAAGCAGAAGCATCCGTTGCTGCTCCATTCACTTCCCACATTCCAAATATCAGATGTGTTCCAATTGTAATCAGGTATATTTAGTTATTCAGACATTTTTGGTTAATTAATGTATCAAATATATTTTTATTAATGTATGTTTTATTATTGTAGGGAAGGACGCTGTGCACTAGTGACATCATTTTCTACATTTAAATTTATTGCATTGTACAGTTTAACACAATTCATCTCTGTTCTTATATTATATACTGTAAGTTCATTTTTTTATACATGAAAGTATTGCTTTTTTTTTAAATATATGTAAATCACTCAGGTGGCATAATTAATTTTGGTGTTTGATTTTTTCCCTTGATTTGTGTATAATTATATGCTTAATTTTATGTTAATATTATTCTCAAATTTAATTTTTTTATTAGTAACTACAGTATTTTCCCCACAAACTATACAAAATATTTTAAAATGTTTGAAATGGCTTTCAAATTTATATCTTTACTTTTTCTTTACTAATAATAGCTCATTTTTAAAATCATTCTTTTTATTCAATTGCTTGTGATATCTGAAACAGTCAGCTCATCTTTTATTATATTATAGCAATTTACATGATGATTGTATTGTGTTTAGATTAGCTACTGAATTTATCTGATAACCTAATTCTGATATGTAATATAGGAGAACAAATTTCTATTTGAAAATTTAACATTGTTATTTAATATATTTTAGAAAACAAGTCTTGTCTTTTCTCAAGAAATAATACATAGTTATATAAATTTTATTGTACTATAAATTGGCAAATAAGGTATATATAGCTTAAAATTATGTATGTATTTTCCATGTGTCTCTTTCTTTTGTATTTTCGTCTATTTTTCATAATTCTTGCTATTGTTATGAAAATTTATGCTTAGGTTTCAATTTGTGTTGATAATTCACCTTCTGAAATTTTGCCTTTTTTAAAAGTCTGAATACCATACAGTCTGAAATTTAATCTTTATAATGTGTAACATATTCAAGTACTATGTCTTGGAGGATTTTGTAACTATGATACATATGTATATGTTAATCTCAAGATGATTTTTAGTCCATTTCTCTAACATATTTGCAAGTTTTTTCAGATGCGGCATTGTCCCTTGAAATTTATTAATAATTTTAGTAGTTTTTCTCATTTAAAAAGCTAAGTTTTTAGTCATTTTTAATGTTTTCCATTTTTAAATGTAAAATTCAGTGCATGAACTTAGAAGTATTATAATCTATAGTTGTAACTATTATTGAATTATCCTAAATGTTAGCTTATAATGAAGAAAATACTTTTATTAAATCATGATTAGCAGTTATTTTTATTGTATTTTTATTCATATTAAAAAAAATACCTCATGCACATTAGCCAAGCGTTTTAAATTTATATCCTCTTACTAAAAAAAAAATCTGTGCAATTAGCAAATCTGTGCAATTAGCATGTTAAATGTAATACCTAACTTTGGGCATGCCTATACATACACCTTAAATTATGGTTTTGCTATTGCCATATGGATTGGTGTACTTTTATGAATTAAAATAAATAGTACTGTTTTGGCATAGAAGAAATCAATAATGATGTTACGGTCCACACCCGTGGATGGCGGTGCAGGTGGCTCTTCGTGCCGTGGGCTAGAAACAGTCATTTGACTGGCCAAATCCTGCAATTCCATCCCGCCAAATTTCCTAGGCATAAGCTTTCAGAAGTGAAATGGGACTGAATTTTATAAGAGAATTTTTGGTTTTAAGACTTTGTTTTGTATGTGAAATGGACTAACAGGTGTGTATGATTTTGTGTAAGTATTCTTTGCTGTTTATTTGTTTACTGTTATGCAAACAAAATGTCTTTTTTAATTTATCTGATTTATACAATAAAAATTACTCTGTGTTCTACTAGCAATATTTTTTTCTTGGGCGGGGGGGATGGCATTATATCGAAATATCTCCATTCCAAAATTATGTAGAAGTGTGCTATGCATTTTATGTGTAGGATTAGCACAATTTTTTTTTTTAAAGTGATCACAGAATTAGGAGAAAGTTGTGTATTTTGAGAATTTTTCTGCAAATGTAACTGATAATTTTGGATATATTGTAATTAGTTGCATAAATTACAATGCTTAAGATTTGTCTGTTAAAAAAGCGGTAGTAGGGTTTTGATCTTGGTTGTTTTATAACTTTAAAAAATCCTGTTTGAATCTCCCTCTTTTTGGTTAATGTCTTTTTTAAACTTCACATGCTCCCTTTATAAGCTCCTCCTCTCTCTCTCTCTCTCTCTTTTTTTTTTTTTTTTTTAACAATTAAAAGCCAACATATTTGGCTAGGTGAAATATGAACTGAAGATTTTAAAAAAATGGAGAGATAGATAAAAGAAGAAAGTTTTTGCACTTTTTATACCTTCATTACCATCATATATCTATACATGTCTGTGGTAATTTAAGTTTTTTAGCATAAATGCTTGCAGTGCATTTATAAATGACAAATGCTGTTTGTAATAATTTTTAATTTTATAATTAGTATTATAAAAAAATATGAGGTGTGTTCAAAAAGAAACTGAACTCTTGCTGTAACATCTTTATTGCTTTTATTGTATAACTAGCAATACACTGTTCCTGTAATTTCTACCTTTTTTTGGAAAGCCTCCTTGAATATACTTTTGGGGATGGCATGCAGGTCTCTTGTCGCATTGTCCTGAATCACCTCTACGGTTTGGAAATGACGTTCTTTCAAAAGTCTGATGGGACTACGTGTAGAGAAGATGGTGGGTAGAGCACAGCCGAAGGGTGATGTTTTGCAAGATAGCTAGGAAAAAAGAGTGATGTGTGAGCTGGTGTATTGTCATAATGCAAAATCAAAATCCAATTTTTCTGCAATTCAGGCTTTCTCCTGCACACAACATCCCTCCTGGTATATTTCCTTGTTTACCATCTGACCACATGATAAAAATTCCTGTTGGACAGTGCCTTTGAACTCAAAAAAACACAACCAACATCAAAGTGGATTTGCAGTTTGGCAGTTGAGGAAGATTGTTCTGTAGTTAAACCATCAAAACTAGTCCTGCAAAATTTACAAATATAATGCTGATTCTTGTTTTTTTGACTACTCCAATAATCATTGTTCAGCATGTTAGTTTAATCTAAACCAACATAACTTTGAACATTGATTGACTACTGCGTGCTTTCTTTGAATGAGGAGACTCTTTGCCCACCCACTGCGATGACTGCATCTTCATTTCTATATCATATCCATGAACCCATGTCTCATCACCTATTATGGTGTTCTTTAAAACCTTTTCAGTATCATTGGCTGAAGCAAGCAGTTCCTGACTGATTTCAAAATGGGTCAATTTCTGATCGTCAGTCAGGAAATGCAGCACGAATTTTACACTGACACAATGCATCTCAAGTTTGTCATTCAAAATTTGATGCCATAATCCTATGATGCCCTTTAGTCAGCAATTTCTTAAAAAAATAAACAAAAATTTCCCCATGAATCATGGCACAAAATCTCTTGGCGGGGTCAACCATCATCTGTTGATGAGGAAAGTTATCAAGGCTTGAAATTGTCTCATACCAACATTCTGCTGTATTTGAAATGCTTAAACCACTCATAGTACTGTATGCAACTCATTTCTTCTCATATGTTTGGCTAATCAATTGAAATTTCTCTGTGAAAGTTTTTCCAAGTTTGCAACAAAATTTCACATTTCTTCAAGCTGTTTCACTGTTATTTTGCTAGTAATCTGACAAATGGCAATTTGTTGTTTAAACTTTCTGCTGCAGTGCATTCCCTCTGCCAATTAGCACACTATTTCAAAAGTTCGATTTCTTTTTCAACGCATCTCACAAAAGAATTGTTTATAATTGGTCACTAATTAGTTCACTGAAATATCTACATTAGATAAGATGATTTTGAATTAAAAATAGAACATTTTTATGGCTTTCATACGTAAATATTTGAAAATGTTCAAGTCATTTAAAATTACTAATTTTATTTTACATTTTGAATAAAAGTCTTATCGATTTCGAAAGTGATCAGGTATGTGTCTTCTTCAGAAGCTTTAAAAAAAGAAAGGAAACCTGCAAAATGGTAAGAGTGGTGACTGTATTTATTTCAAAGCAATGGGCGGTAGTGCCATCTGTTGAGATAATAGTAATGAAATGTAAAAAGCTCATGTATTAGAATTCTAAAAGTGTTAGGAAGGACTGGATTGGAATTAATGTTAGTATAGTGATATTAATAATTTACATCAAAATAAGGTTGCTGTTTTGTATAATTTTATACTCACATACTCTTCTTCCGATTTGTGCTCAATTCAGTCTTAATTCTTCAGCTTCACATCCACTATTCTGTAGTATAAAATTGTTGAATTACTATTAAGAGTTAGAAATTTTATAATTTGCAAAAACATTCAAACTTGTTTAATCGCTTTAATTTCAAAGTACACTGAAAAGCCAGAACATTATGACTACCTACTCAATAGCGCATTGTGCTACCTTGTCCTGCTAAACTGGTCGAGATATTCCGACATGGTGGTGTTTGAGCTCTGAGCTGCCTTATTGCTAGGCTGTCTCTATCTTCGTTACAAGCTGTTATTAAACATGACAAAAATGTTTATTATTTATAGGTAGTATCTTGAGATGGCAAGTCTGTTGGTCTGGCTCTTTTACATACCCAAATTCTGTTATGAATCTAGGCAGCATCCCACTAGCCTCCTGAACATGATTGTTGAGCACATTATTATGACATTCTAAATGTTCTCTATTAAGTTAAGATCTGGTGAGTTAGGTGGCCAGGACATTAATTGAAATTCATCCTTATACTCCCCGAACCACTCCATCACAATTCAAGCTGGGTGTTGTCCTGCTAGAAGATTCCTTTTCAGTTGGGAAGGTAGATGCCATGCAGGCATGCATCTGATCCATAATTACGTTCATGTCACTATTCATGGTCTGTTCTACTGAAACTAAGGGCCCAGAGCCGCCCATGAGAATGTCTCCCAAAGCATAATGCTGTAATCACCAGCCTATGTATGACCTGCTGTATGGGGGGTGCAGCTGTTCGCCTGGAAAACGCCGTATCCTGACACGACTATTGACGTGATGAATAAAGAATCAGGATTCATCAGACTAAGCAATTGTTTTCCACTTATCCATGGTCCAGTCTCGATGTTCCTTAACAGGAGTGGGATGTATGCTGTGCAGTCCCATATCCAACAATTTCTCCTGAACTGTATGTTCCGAAACTCTTGCACTTGGACCTGCACTGCTATTGGACTGTCAGCTGAGCCACTATCTGGTGTCAATTTTGCTATACCAAGAGGGGCAATCTCCGACGTCCTTTTTCTTTGATGATGCATGAACATCCAACACCTTGGCATCTACTGCTGGTTTCACCATAATTTATCCACTGTGCATAAATACTAACGAGGGCAGATCAGGTAAATCCTACCACACAATTTTGGAGATATTCGTTCCAAGTCTTCAGGCCGTTACAATCTGCCCTTTATCGAATTCTCCTAAGATTAGCGGCCTTTTCAACACCCATGCTACAGTAAGGACAAAAATGATTCCTTACTTTCTGTAAAGCTGCAGTTAAATACCATTTCCACTTAATCACGTGCCCTCCACATCATCAAGATGAGTTCGTTGAAAAATATGAGAATGGTCATAATATTTTGGCTCGTCATTGGATACCAGCTGAGTTCAGTAAAGTCTTTATACTCATATATGCTTTGTCAGGGATAAAAAAGTATACTAAGATAGAATCATCCAAGCAGGATAGAAGTTAAGGAAAAATTAGAAAATGTCAATTCGACTTTTCATCAATTCTAAGGAAAAGAAAGAATTTTTAATTCTTTAAAAATTTATTTATTTTGTATTTTCTTAAGATTTTGACACAGTACTGCATAAAAAGATGAAAACTGAGAAGAAAGCAATTAAACTTAAGAGGCTTCTTTGTCAGTGAATGTGAAACACGAAAATAGATAAATGCTAGGTATATGAATAAAGGGTGTCAAATTGTAAGAAATCAGTATATTGCTAGGCTGTCTCTATCTTCGTTACAAGCTGTTATTAAACATGACAAAAATGTTTATTATTTATAGGTAGTATCTTGAGATGGCAAGTCTGTTGGTCTGGCTCTTTTACATATCCAAATTCTGTTATGAATCTAGGCAGCATCCCCACTAGCCTCCTGAACATGATTGTTGAGCACATTATTTTGTGATCTGTAAGGCTAACACAAAAGATTTCTGAATGTCATCAATGTACTAAAGATCATGCGTGAAGTAATGTAAAGATCTGCCAGAAATGATAGCTATAATTTGAAGTAGTTTCCCCATGAAGTTATTCTCTAACTTTATGTGGGAATGAAATGATATACATTAAAGGCATGATCTGTATATTGGCTATCCCATCTTCAAAAACCTTAGACAGTTAATAGTTATCGGGTATGAATTGTATTTCATCGCTGGTGACTGTGCAGCTATACTTTAATTTTTATAGTTTCTTGTTGATCAGTAGTTAGCAACAGGATGGTTTCTGAAATATACATGTAAGCAGACTTTTGAGGGAAGTTAAAGAAATATTGATATGAACCATGCCCATGTAGGAAAGTAGGACTTCAACTGAATAAGTGGTGCTGTATGCCAGTGGATCAAGTCTGCAGCTAATGGTCCAAGTAAAACTTACAACATTATATGGAGAATGTGTGTCTTTTGTGGATGCAGAGTTGGTGGACATACACACTTCATGTATGGTCTCGCTGATGATAATGGGTGAGTCATTGTAAAAATGTATTGGGAATGGAGCCAACCAAACCTGCACTACAGTATAGAATGTTTATGCATTTGCATCAGAATGTGGTTGAATATAGATACTTCAAGATTAGGATATAGGATACCAGGTAGCCACGACTGATCTAAACTCCCTTTCATGGAAGAGAATGTGTTGCATGCTGTGGCCAATAATCATGGTGCAAACACAGGTGTTTGCTGCAGTAATACAAACAGTATCAGAGCTAGTGCAACTGTGTCAAGCAACAAAATGTTTGGAATTTAGAGAAGGATTGAGCAGGAAATTAGGAATAGCAATACTTTTAGAATTTATTGAAGGCACTGTGCAGCATAATATAGAAAAAGGAAAGAGAAAATAATTTAGGAAGACGGTGGTTGGCATAATGCCTAGCAGTCTCATGCCGCATATGGTGAATTGTGATGCTATGCCCAAATATCAATTTCATCTGCAGTACATCCATTTGAAGCAAATGGTAGATCATTTTACATTTGTGCTATGGTTACTGCAATAAATGTGAGCAGCCGAATTTCCCAGCATATGTTCTGTTCACAGATGAATGATGGGCACCTTTAATCCTCACACTGCATACACGTAAGCTCACTGTGGGTGATTATTTAGTCAAATCGTACATGTTAGCATCCCAGTTGGACATATTGGTCATGGAAGGAGGCTTTGCCTAAATGTTTCCATGATTGTGCATCACTGGTTATGCCTCCAGCTGATTAACATTTAAATATAAAATTCAAAGAATTACTCCAGAATAAATGTGCACAACATTATTTTTAAATCTCTTTAAACCGTTAAGTGATTACAGAAGAGATTTTACCATATTTAGAATTATCCCTATCTGAAAATGGTACTCTTTTTGGCAATTAATAATTCCATGGCAGACTTGACATCTCCCAGCGAACTAAAAATTGAGTTTCAAAATCAAAGTCTATTGGAGGTTTGGCTGCATTTACAAAATGAATTCAAAATTTTATATACCATTTGTATACCATTAATGTACAGGAGTGTTTGGACCCTAACCATTGGGAATAGATGAATTGGGTCTTTGCACTGCCCCCTCCCCACATTCATCAGTTTATTTAGCATTGATTTCTTTCTGTAGAGGGTAAAATGTCTGTTCCTTCTGACATAATACCTGTCGCCACAGCATCTGTGAAATACAAGTATCCTTGGAAATGCTCAACAATCATGTGATGTTGGTATCATGCATACATCACTGCAAATGCTCAGAACTTTAAACATCTCTTGTGAAATAAGGATTTGTGTCTTGCATTTGTTTCATTGTTAAGTTTTACATAATTAAGCACTTTACAGTGTTTTCTGTTTTTTACTGTTGCCATGTCTTTGTGTCAAGTCTCCTTCAAGTGGTGTGTCTGGTTTTTTTTTACTTTGTGAATGTATTTCATACTGATTTTCTCAGCTTCTCAAAGTTTATACATGAAATTTTGTACATATTTGTAGATCTATATAAAACCATTATTTAAAAATAGATAATAATTTGTTTTACTTAAAGGGAGTGTTTCGAATTGAGTATGAAATGAAACTATTAATATTCACCACAATAGTTTTGTTCTGTGTTAATTAGATTTAATATTATACTATAAAGCTTAGAGCTGTGTGTACAACACATTGAATATTTTATTGTATAAAGCCATAAATATTTAAAGGCATACTTTTTAGCTTGTGTTGTATACAAATGTTTATAAAATCCTTGTGCAACTTTTAACAATGATAATTTTGGATGTATACATATGCATTGCAAGCTGCTATGAAAAGTATATGTTGAAAATTTTACTGCATTGTGAATTACATTTCTTTAAAATACATAGTGCATACCATTTTTCCAGCTCATTAAAAGTATTCATATATTTCTTTTTATTTTTATGTTATCGCGTGTATGATGTTGGCCATAAAATCATCTGAAGATTGTATCTTTGACAGTAGACAACTGTTTTGGCATGAACTTGTAATATTTGATCTTGTGCATTTGGATTTGTTAAAGCTTAAGTTCTGCCCTTGTACATCAGCCTGGAAAGATGTTTTAGAACTTTACTGCATCTTAAACACTCCCCATATATAGGAAGCTTTCATGTGCACTTTTAAGTTGCACAAAAACTTCATAAATATGTATAATTTTTCTATAACTTTGGGAAGGTTAAATCATACATTTTGTTACATTTAGTAGTGAGCATAATTTATTAGAAAAAAGTAGCTGTCTAATCCATATCTTTGCCAATATATTGCTGATAGCTTGAGTTGCTAAATTAAAATGCAGTTACTGCAAATATTTTAAAATTTTAAATTTCATACTTCTGAAACTAAATTTTAATTTTTTAAATTAATATTCTTGAATGAATCTACCTTGAAATGTCCTCCAGACTGCTCTCCCACGATTCTGCTGGGCTGGAGCTTTAAATTATGTAATGATTACATACTTGTGTCACTATTTGTAAATTTAATAAAAATTCTTGAAGTTATAGATAGTTTGAGAAAGCAAGATTGTTGCCTTGCCATGTATGCAATGTATATATTTTATTTGCAAATTAATTGCTGTTTTATTTCTTTTCATTAAAAAATAGATATTTTTAGGGGTTTCTATGAAAATTAGTGAAGCATATAAACTTAAGTTAAAAGCAATTTCTTTTCTGCATTCAAATTAAGAACCTGAATGCATACATATTTGTGGACTTTTTATTTTTTTAAGTTTTCTGTAAATGGTACTTCATAAAATTTTATTCAGAATCTGATATTTAGTATTGGTTTTCCTTATTAGCAGCTAAACATTAACATTTTTTGAAATTTTATATATCTGGCATGTTGAGATATCAGCTATAACACTATTTCTGTTTGCTAATTGATTTCTGTAAATCTTATGGATGCAAATTGGAATGAAGGATTACTACTAAAAATATTTAAATTTTTTAAAAAAATTAAGGATTTATTTACTGTGCTGAATTTTTTGTGATGAGCTTGGATATGAATTATTTCTTTGTTTTTAATTTCTTTAATAGATTAGGCTGTGAATTGTGTTTAAAATATAATTAATAAGTAAAAATTGAGCAAATAGATTTTTCTGTTAATTTTCTTTATTCTCACTAATTTAGGTTGATACAAATTTAACTGATCAAATGTTTCTGTATATTGATTTGGGAGTTATTACCATTCTGGCTGTTGTGAGTAAGTAATTTTGATATCCAAAGAACTGTTTTAAAGCTTTTTACATTATTAATTTTCTTTGTATATTTGTAAATATGAGAGTGAAGTTGCATTATTACATTTTCAGTGGGCTATACAAAAGCATATGAAAAACTGGTACCTCAGCGTCCTCGCAGTAGTCTTATTAGTGTTCCCAATGTTGTGTCTCTGGTGGCGCAAGTGTTATTTATTTCTTTAATTCAAATAGGATGTCTAATATTTCTACAAATTCAAAAGTGGTATGTACTAAAAGCTTTTATTTATACTAAAATGCACTATCTTTCTAAATCGTAAAACTTTGTATTGCAGTTTAATCACTGTGGTCATTGCATGTTTATTCAATGGATGGCTGGATAGATGTTGTTGTTTATGTGGAACATTAAACCAATTCTTTTTTTAGTTATAGCCGAAGATAATTTTGCAGGCAGTAACTGTAATGGACTGGCAGACAGATATGGAATTCAACAACAATTTTATTACTGATAAAGCAGTTCTGAAGGCACAATATTTATAAAGAAAAGTTTACATGTCCAGTGTTTGATTGAGCTTAAGATTATCCAGTAGACAAGTATTCGGCTAAAAAAATTAAGTAGTTTAAAAAAAAATTTTCTAAAAAAGAACAATTAGCTTCATTTCTAAGGAGGAGCATTATCATTCTGTATTCTTGAATGTCTCGAGATCGATAGTTTGAATTTGTTGATTTACTTTTCAATTTCTGAATATTGTTACCTTTAATGATTATGTTTCATTCATTTACAGTAAATTTAGAGACACTTGTAAGTTTCCCGGCAAAATCTAATAGGTTTTGCATTGCATTTAATTGATCAAATTCTAACTGAGTCCTTCATTCAGGGTTTGTAGAGTAAATGTGTTCAAAAGACAACTTCACTTCAAAATTGGATTTCCTTAGCAAGAAAATTTATTTTTAACCTCTAGTCACCTGAAGAACCACAAAGCACCAGTAATATGCCCAGGTTTTTTATTTTTAGGCAAGATCTTCATCCATATCTTAATTATCCAAGACCATTCTACCCTAGATCTAATTTGCCTCAAAATCCGGTTTTGAGAAATATTCGGCTACCATCAGTTCAGATATCCAAATTCCCAGTATTCTTTCTGCCTTAAGTTATTATTAATCACCATTCTATCAAAATCAAACTTCACCCCAAAAAGTTCATGTTAAGCTAAGGATTAATAAAATTTCTGCTGTTATTAATAGATCTAGCAAAGTTAATGTAATATCTGAAAATACTTTTTTAAGCTGCATTGATAATTTTGAAACTATTGAAACTTCAAGAAAATTGTCTTTCTGTCACTAACATAATTAAATTGCCATGTAAATTTGGAAGAATAATTAGAGATGTTACATTTTCTATGGCAATTCTCATTTCAATTGTTCATTATTGTGTTCGTCTTGTACTCAGTTGTTTAAATTGCAGTTGAACTTTACTGATTATGACATGTATCAATTTATAAGTAAAGATGTATGTCTAAATAACACTATATAATTTCTTATATTGATGTGAAAATGAGAAGGACCGTGCTAATCATGTTGAAAACAATGAGTATGAAAATTCCTATGTAAATAACCAGTTTAAAAAGTTGTTAAATGACTATAGTCATATATTTGCAGAAATGCAAATTGTATTAATATCGAACCTCTGAGAGTAATATTAACTTTCTATCACTTATTAGGAGTCCTAAAATGGAATATATAGAAGCACCTAAAAATAATAATGAATTTAAAAACCAATAGACAAATTATTACATACAGGTATTAGAAAACCATTATTTAGCTGTTATGTTTCCCCTGTAAGTCCAAGTTCTCATCTACACTTACATAATCAGAAAAACTAACACTATCATATTTAAACAGGGTTGCCACGCTACCTGGAAAACCGGGAGAACCTGGAAAAGTCAGGGAATTCGAAAATTGGCCAAAATATTCAGGAAAAAGTCAGGGAATTTAAGTATTTTTGTCAAAATCTGGAAAAGTCAGGGAAGTTCATACAACGATCTTGCCAAAAAAAAGCGATTTTTGCGCCGACGTCGGAAGAGGTAACTTTTTTGGCGAATTATGTATCACGTGTCATTCGGGTAGCTGGCATAGAGCCAATTTTCGCAGCTCCAATTTGATTGTCTTTTAGAAAGGCAAAGCAACTTTCCCGCAACTTTTGGTTTCCAATATTCTCGGAATCGCATGTGCAGTGCATGAACTAAAGAATGTACCCGTTCTCGTATAAAAAACAAAAATGGGGTTTAATCTTAGTATACGGTACCATGGAGGTTAGAATAAAAAAATATGTATTGTAAAGAAGGAAAACCTCTCTCCAACAGACATGGCTGTGGCTCTGTTCCATCATAGAGGGAAAACAGCTGTGCATGTCTGACATATCTGTTGCCAAAGCTCGAAACCGGTGTCGAAGTTCGAAGGTCACGTTATCAAGAGTTCATAAAATGAATATCGTTTAAAATTTCTTTAACCACTTGCGCTAAAAAGACGTGCCATGCACGTCAAGCTGCTTTTGTCTCAAACCGTGAGCGACGTGCACGTCGATAAGCATTTATCGCAAAAATGAAAATAACGTGGTACACACGTCGCCTAACAACAGGATTGTTTATTTCTCGAGTTACAGCTCTGGATTGCACTCTCAGATGCAAAGCGGCGTAAATGAGACACCTTTACCGCTTGTTATATTGTAGCGCACGGCACCACAACCGTAAAGTTTAGTCTTAGCGCAAGTGGTTAAACTCTAAAGGAAAAGAAAATATTTTTTGGCGCAAGTAAATTAATTCATGGATTAGTTATTTTCAGGGGGGAAAAAAAAAAAACTACGAAAATCCGTTTTTAAAATTATTGCGAAAAATCCAAGAAGAAACGTCCTTTGATAAAACGTTTCTTCTTGGATTTTTCGCAATAATTTAAAAACGGATTTTCGTAGTTTTCTTTTTGTCAAAGAGCGTTTCTTCTTAACACGCGTTTCTCAATTTCCTGTACACATCGCGGAGAGGGAAATTCTGGCCGCCAGGTTCCGTCGCCAAATCCCCTGGCAAATTTTCCCTCCACATTCTAGCGGCATAATAGCATTTACTTGTATGGAACCTTTTCTTCTTTACATAGACGTTCTTTGGTTAGAATAATAATGGGATTTGGGGACATCTTGATGCGCAGTAAACGGGTCATTTTGGTCTTGGCGACAATTTTCAAAATCGTGCCAACGCCTTACCGTATACTAGAATTTTACCGCAAAATCTTTTTAAACCTTTTTTTTTTTTAAATAAATGCCTTGCCATTTTGCAGTAAAATAAAAAAAAAATAGTAATCAGTCATCTAGGCTAGCCATGTAATATAACTATATTCACTAAAATATCGTTGATTATTCTAATTCAATTTTTAAGTAATTATTTTTATGTTATTCATATAATTTAATGTTGCTTCTTCCCTCTAAATTTATTATTAGCAAATAATATTTCCAAATTTCAGGAAATTTTCTCTGGCATAATCCTGAAATTAATTATAGCAGTATGATGACATACCATCACGAAATTTAATGCACATATTTTTTTTCTTATGTATGCTGCGAAATAAAATAAAATACCTCAGTTTATTAAAATAGATTTCTTTCTTTCGTTTAGCTCCAGAATGTCTGCAAAAAAAAAGCCTTACTTTATTCCAGATTGGGAGGATTCTAATCTCAATCTTCAGTGGAGAAAACAACAACTATTATAATTATATTTGTGTTTCAAGTGTTAAGGTGCCTTTTTAAGAACATACCTCACGCAATTAAATTTACCTAAAATCTAACCTAACTATTTAGGCATTGCATTGTGATTTATAAGAACCGGATTAGCCTCGTGTTGAACTGGTGATGATCATGAGTAATAATTAAATAAAAACATACATTTGTTATTAAATATATATATCTTAAATTTTATTAAGTTTCTTAAGTGGAAAACTAAACAAAATTATCAAACAAAGTATACCAAAAATAATTAAGAATAAATGTCCTCTGGGATTTATTGAATAATTAAGTGAATTTGCTACACAATACAAGTAATACCATAATTAATTTACCTCTTAGCATACCCAACGTACATTACGCGGATGGATTGGAATTTTCTTGAAACACACCTGGAAAACCTGAAAAAGTCAGGGAATTTCATTCTCCTGTTTGAGTGGCAACCCTGTTTAAATTTTTTTTAATTCAGAAGAGGCTGTATCAGTATCGTCACATTCTTTGATATGATTGTTCTCTTCGGCATTCATGAAAGCATGACAAAAGCAATTGCTAATTATGCTTTCTAACAGCATCTCATGCGGCATATCTATTGCTGTCAGCAGAGTAATGTCATGGTTTTTACCACAGTCTAAAGAAAAAATGACTTGTGTAAAAGTCTTTTATGATAATTTGTTTTAAGATTTTTAAAGATTCCTTGATCTGTTGGTTGTAGCTTTGCAGTTGTGTTTGGTGGCAAATATTCAATCTGTATGAAATACAGTTGTAAAAGGTTATTGTGACAGGTTTCTTTATCCACAAATAAGAGAATTTTATGTTTTTCTCTTGAAAACTGCTGATCTATTCCTTTTAACCAGTTACTGAAGATGCCATGCGTCATTCACACTTTTGTATTGGATACATAATCAACTGGCAGTGTTTGAATTCCTTTAAAAAACAGTGGATTCTTGGACTTTCCAATCACTAATAATTTATGCTTTTCGTTCTCATCCATGTTAACACAAACTAAAGGTGTAATCCTCTGTTAACTGCTTTTACCTCCTACGCAAGTATCCCATTTAAAATGTAATGTCTTGTTTGGCAAGATTTTATTTAAAAAAATAGCAGTTTTGTCTGTATTAAAAATATTTTTTGGCAGGTAAGTAGAGAAGTTTCTTATCCAAACTGGTGCATATATCTTCGTTTACATCAGAGCTTTGATAAGATATATTGTGCCTTGACTTATACTGAGAAAGCATCACTGCATTTAAAGTCTTCAATATCCATTCAACTTGTCAATTCATCAGCCTTTGCCTGCAATAGGGTCCTTTTATCAGGAAATTTTTAAGTCTTGCCTTTCTGGAACCATAGCAGTAGAGCTTTTCTAGATCTTCTTGGGACACATTTCCTTCCTCTAGAAAATTTAGATTTTTCCCATGAATCTAAAATTGGTTCCTTTTTTCTTAAACACGTGGACAAGGTGCTTACTTTATTTTATGTTTGTCATTCTCTACTTTCTTTAAAATTTCTACCTTTGTTTCCAAAGTTAGTTTTTTTTACTTTTCACATGTAGACATCCTGAATTTTTACACACTCACACCATACATTGAGAGAGAAAAACTAGAGCATAATTTAATTGCACTCACTGCAGGCATAATTGGCACATAACAAATGATTCTACTCCTACCCTGACCTATTCATAAAGTGTTCTGAATGAATCCAAGGAAACAGGTTATGGCTAGGGAGCTTCATCCATTAAGCATTGATAAAAGGTGAACTGTAGGACAATAGCCACTATCGTTTAGCAGAAATGCAATAGGCTATGAATGCAGGCCTGTGAGTCTTTACACAGAAAAGAAATGCAGGTGATTTTGAGACACAGACTATTTAAGTACAGCATGCGTTTTCTCTGCTAAACAAAGATAAAGATTTTCATTTTTGTGTCAAAGTTTTAATTAGAATTAATTAAAGTGATAAAAATTTAGTTCAAAGTATTGAGATGTTTTTAACGTTAATTCCAATATAAATTTTTGGGGGGCCTTTGGATTAGTTCAAATTAATGCACATACACTGTATATGGAAATTTGTTTTTAAAAGCATAACTGCTGATACTTATATGAATTGTTTAAAACGAATTTTTCAAATTCAGGTCCAAAGAAAATATGCAATAGAAATGCTGCTTTTACTTCTTCACAATTTAAGCATTTTTTCTAGAACCAATAATGCTACACAATTATTGACTTCTGCTAATACACCACAAACTAATATTGCATGGACAAAATTGTTCCATCAGTTACTGAAGAATGCAATGATACAACAAAACAAACAAACAATTTAACAAAAGTTCCCACCATCCTATTTAATGTATGGAAAGTTAATAATGATCTCTTAATCAAAAAGCAAGATTTGTACTTGCCAGTTGAAGAAGCTGGAAAAATTGCTCAAGAAAATGTCATAATGTTTACCATAATTTAAACAAAAATAGATATGACATCCATTTGTGTGAAATTGTGAGGTACAGATTGGCTCTGTTGTGGTGCATGTTGTCTTCATTTGTGGTGCATGTTGTCTTCATCATGTGCTTTCAAAGAATTATTTATGTCCTGAAAATAAAAATGAATACTTAATCTTCATAATGGGTACAATTGATTGCAGCTGCATTGTTATACATTTTAATGACATCATCGTTCCCATCATGACGCAGTGAGAAGAGATATAAATATATAAATTCAAATTAGGAATTTAAAGGGCTATTGCCAATTAAGTTAGAAATTTGTTCTGATATCTTTACATATATATATGAAACACATCTCTAAAGAAAGCAAATGAGATTTATATTATAAATACACTTTAAATCTAAGTGTACTTTATGTCTGGCAATTTAAAGATTGGTATAACAAATGATAGTTCTAGGGTTTTGACTCTATGATATTGGCATTTTTGAATGAGGAATAATGTTATTAACTTAAGCATAAGATGTCATTGGTAATGTTTCACTCATTTTCAACCTCATGTTAGCTGCAACTGCAATGTGATAGTTTCCTGCTTCAAAGTTGTGCTCCCTGCCTTCACCTTTCAATGTTCTCGAGCTCGCACATTAACTCTTCAATTTATAGATACTCATCCCTTAATACAATAGGGCTAACATGTACCATAGTTCATATTTGTGCTTGCATAAAAAACATTGAAGTTAAAATTTAAATAAATTTGAAAGATTCAAGTTTTAATGAATCTCCCGCAAAGGTTCTGTTGAAGTTTAATATGGTTTATCAGTAAAGATTATCGATAGAGATAGGCCTAGATGGATTTTTCACTATTCCACCTGGGCTGATCAGTGATGAATATTCATTTTCTAGATGAACGCACCACAATGAATATTCATATTTTAGATGAATATTCGTTTAGACTAACATGAGAGTATACTGTGCAAAATCGCATTTTTAGACTAATAGTCCTTTTGGGCTAAAACTAAGGCTACCTTGTGGTAGTTTTTATGTAAGGGGAAAAGTTTAGATAATTTTCCAATTTTTAAGTAAATTTTGCTTTTAAAAGATTAATTTTTAATTTCAGGTTTTTATAAAGTGAGGTATAACTTGTATTTGTGAATATATTTTGTGTTTTACCTACTTGAGGGCTGCCATAAAACAGACCTGGTCATACAAAATATCTGTTATTATTTTGTTATGTATTCATCACTCAATATCATATTCTGTCATAATTTGAATTCAGGTAGTTCTTAATTTAAATCAGAAACAGAATCGAGAGATTACTCCTCACCTGTTGCTGATGGTTGTTTTGTTTGTACTTCTTTTTTAGTACATTTGTTCTTATTTTTTAATATTTTTTCCTATAATAGGTATGAACCAGTACATACGGAGGAGGCAATATTTCCTTGTTGGGAAAACACAACAATATTCTTAGTCTCATGCTTTCAGTATATCATCATAGCTCTTATAGTTTCAGATGGTCCTCCATATCGAAAACATTTTTTCACCAATTGTGAGTATTAGTTCTTTTCTTTTATAAATAAGAATTGATTAGAAATCATAATGAGAAATGTTGGCTAATGTGTACTGGCAGACTGGTTCGGTCTGGTGAGTACACATAACCACCCTGTTGGTACATCATATTCATGAATTTCAGGTTGGTTTTTTAAATAAATGATGCATATAAGTTAAGAAGAAAATAATTAAAATTATTTTTTTTTAATACCTGGGGTTTCAAATATTAGGCTTAGTTTGATAATCTTATGAATGACTAAATTTTACTTGAGAAATTATTTATATTTTGATCTGGTTCTTGAATTTTTTAACATGTACATGAGTGTGAATGCTGTTAGGTTGGTATATTTGTTATAGGCAATAATAATGCCAAATGTGCTTTACCCACTTTGTTAAAATTATTTGATAGTGAGAACAATAAACCTTTTTTTCTGCTCGTATGCAATGAAAAAAGGGAAAGAAAAATATATTGTTATAAATTAAGAATTTCACCAAATGTGAAAAAAATGTGGCAAGATATAAATGTAAAATTTGGTGAGATTTCTCGGCAAGTTTCTCACCAGATTTTGCAAAATTTAATATTTGGGCATAATTTTAATTGTAGAACTTAAATGTGATGGGGGGAGAATGGACCAGTCATTTCAGAAAAAGCCTGATTTTGTCTCAAAATACCTATGCTAGAACAATACTACATATAAATCTAATATATGTCCTAAGTCACGCTTTCGAGATATGAATAATGCGAGTTAGATTTTGTAATTGGCCTAATAGAATGGGAAATATAGAACTGGCCTTCCTCCCCTCACTTTGTCTAAGGTGTACATGATCAAAATAAATATCTTCTATAAACACCATCTTCTCAAAAATTTAAAATAGATTATCAGGTTGTTAATATTTTTGTGGAACAAATGCATCACTTTGTGGTGTAGAAATTTCCATTTCATAAAATTAGTGGAGGTGTTGCATTCTAGATATAAGCTTCCTTTTAAAAATGGTAGAGAAATGCAATAATGATTTAGTTAATAAGATAGTATGTATGATTCTGGGTGGTAAGTTAATATTCTCAGTCAACTAAATATTGTGTTTGTACAATAAATGGAACTATATGTTTAATCAAAACTGTTGATGCAACAATGAAATTATGTTTTTAAAAATCTGTATTATAATTAAAAGATAGTCTTATAGTTGCATGGTTTAAATAGTCACATGGGTTAATCGTAACTTTTGCTGAATCTTGTTTAGCCATTCTGTGCAATTGTTTTAAAATTATTTTTCTTTTAAATTTTGAGAAATTTTGTGATGCTGACTATAGGACAAGTACAATTGTGTTTTTAAATTATTAATGGTGTTTATTTTCTCTTTCTTATTTTTTACCAAGTTAAATTTTTGTCTTAATTTATACGTTCTTTTTTCCCCCTAGATTTATATCTTTGGTCATTAGCAATTTTAACAGCATTTACAACATTATTATATTTTAATCCATTTGAGCTTCTGGCGTCTGTTATGGGTGTAAGTATTTAATACTAATTATTTATCAGATTTCATTTTGTCATCTTTAATGAAAAATTTATAATAAAATTTAAATTGATTTATTATAATTATAATAATAATTTTATTATTAAATAAAATTATTATTTAATAAAATCACCATTTTAAATTTTCTTCCTTCATCCCATTGCTGCAAGGGTTTTGTTGACTAAAAATCCTCACGAACAGGGGCAGGACCCTGTTCTTTCAGATCCATTGACAGCCATTTTCCTAACTTTTATGGGGAGGAGGATATTGTATTTTTCCTCAGTACTGGTATTTATATATGTGTATATACACGCAAAGGAATTAGTTCAACTGAATTTTTTTTTCCCCCCTTCAAACTACGATTATATATGGCATTATCAGAAATTATCAATTTTAATTTTTGAAATTTTGTACAAAATAATGTGTTCGTAGACGATAATTTCCACAATGCATTGTATAAACCAGTGCTTCTTAAACTGCGGTATGCATGCTGTCAGGAGTACACAAGCTATTTTCAAGCAAGCATTCGTGAGAGTGAAGATGAATCTTCACAAGAGGTAAATAATGTTTTATATGTTATTGGTTTTACTATCTTCGTAAAAATGCTACAAACAGAAACATACCGAGCCATGCAGGCATACTTCTATTTTTATTGTTATTAAAAATACAGACTGAGGAATTCATTCTTTCAGCCTGAGAATTGGGCTGAAACTTTTTGTAAAATTTTTTAGCAATGAAAAAGGTGTTTGTAACTCTTGATTCCATCACAAATATTTTCTCTATTAAAAGTAGGAATGAAATACTTTATCAAAGTTGAATAATCGAACCCAGTTTAAAATTCTTCTGGATTAGAAATAGCATGATCAAGTTAAATTTTTGCGTTTTATTTTAAGAAGATTTCTAAAAATATTTTGCAAACATTTTAAATGCAGCCAGTTTATTTGATCTGAAGCTGACTGTAATGATTTGCAGTATGATGATATCAGGGAAGTGAATTAAACTGATTCTTTTAAAATAGTCATAACACATATGAATCATGTTTTACTATTTTTATCTGGGATGATACCATCAAGAAAGATGAAGGATATTTTATATTATTAGTTTTGAAAAAATTTTAAGAAACTCTGGCAAAAAAGATAAAATATTTTACATTCAGTCCATTCTAACAAAAATCAAACTTGGACTGAAACTACTTTTGTAGTTTGTTTGCTGTACTGATGAAGCACTCTTGATATCTTGAATGAATATTATGTTTGATATTATAAAGAAGGCAATATTTTCAACATTGGTTATTTATTTTTTATTATTTAAGCTTGCTAAAAAAACTCCCATTCGACCAAATGTTTTATATTTTAAACTGCCAGCCTCAGATGTATAAAATTTATTTCTGAACTATAAAAATTGTTTACAGTTTATAATTTATTGTTTTATTTTACATAAATTGTTATTGCTTTCTCTTTCATGTATTTATTTTGTTTTATGCTTTATTTTTTAGATAATTGTAATCATGTATCATAAAGAATGTTGGATTCATAATTGAATTTTATTCATTTTCAGCTGGTGAAATGGCAGCCTAATCAACATTTTATGTTTAGAGTTACTTTACTTATGATTGTTGGGTGCAACCTATTTCTTGCTCTAGCATTTGAGGTCTAGTATCCTTTTTTATTTTAGTAAAAATATGCATAAAATGACTGTAAAATTTAGTGAAGACAGAGATTTATCATCTTCATTTGTTTCATGAGCAGTAAACGTTTATTAATACTGTGAAGAATATCCACAGACAAAACACAAACTGAGCTAATATAATGCTGAGAACAGTCCTGTAAAATAGCAGAAATAATAAATTTTTTTCATATGCAATGTTTCATTGAAAAGAGATTTTTTGCTATCTGTGTTTTCTATGTTGTCTGCAAAGAACTTCCTCTGCACTTTTGTTATCACATGTAGTTCATCTAATAAAATTAACCCATGCCAAACTTTATTTTATGACTACAGTCATAGTTGATATATTTTAGAATTATTTAGCCCTCCAAAAAGAAATAATGTTCGGGTTAAGAAAAATGCATTCTTTGTTAGTTCAATGCTTATAGATTGCTATTCATTAAAAAACTGCTGCTGTATATAGTATTGATATCAAAGTTCAGAAATGAAATAAATTGAAGAGGCAAAATAGACCTGAAATACCAAAATAATTATAATAACAAGTAATAGAAAAACTAACTAAAATCATGATTATTCCTTTATTGTCAGAGCTAGAAATAATACAATAAAATAATGCATGCAGTACAATGGTGCCAAGAACGGGCATGATAGATCTTTTGATTTTGCTCTCTGAAAATCTGCTGCTATTTATAACGATTCTACAGAAATAGATTGAACTATTGTTTTCTATAAAATTTCAAACATTAAAACATTTTAATGTATGAGTATTTTTGTATTAATTACACTTATATGCGTTAATTAGATAGTATTTATAATGGTAATTGCACTTTTATGCATTAATTAGATAGTATTTATAATTCATTATATAAAAGTCCTTTCTGTATGTATGTTCATAATTTAAAAATTATTTTTGTTCCAAGAAATTCTGATTTGGCACTGCAGGTTGACACATCTTGCCAGTTGACTCGTAAATTATATACTAGTGAAATAAATTAAGAGAATTTGCATATTTTATCGAATTGCATGAAAAGAACTGAACTGAAGAAAAAACCACCACTTCTAGATAAAAAGGCAAATCTTGTACGCCAAATACGTAAGCCTACATGTGTGTGTATGCGGAGCCAGCAGGAAAACAGGCTTTATAAGTGCGTGGGGAATAAGATGAATTGCGTTCGCTACAACACCTCGGCGAATTTCTTTGTGTTATCTTGCAGCAGTCGGTTAAATTCACATCAGAACAGTAAAAATGAGTTACCACCAACGTTTAAATGATAGAATGAGGCGGCGAATTGTAAGGAGGCTAGAGGCAGGCCAATCCCAAGTCCAGATATGCAGAGTTTCATTTAACGCCCATCGTCATGTGTAACCTTTGGAAGCAGTTCCAGGATGCTGGATCCACTGAGAGAAAGCCTGGGCACGGTCGTCCAAGAGCCACAGTGGCCAGAGATGATCGCTATTTGTCCATTTTAGTGAGGCGTAGCAGATGGGCTACAGCTTCTCAGCTCTCTCAGGACCTGTATGCAGCTACAGGAACTTGTGTAACATGGATGACTGTTTCCAAAAGACTGAATGAGAGAGGGTCGTTTGTCAGAAGACCGGCTGTTTGCGTCCTGCTTACGTGTACGGACAGGAGAGTCCAATTAACATGGTGCAGACAGCATAGTGATTGGAGTATAGAGCAATGGGCGACCGCTCTGTTCACCAACGAGTCCCATTTTAGCCTAAACATCGATTCTCACCGTACCTTTATATGGAGAGAGCTAGGGACCTGCTACCTACCCTTCAATATTCGCGAAATCAATTGTGGCAGTGTAATGGTGTGGGCAGGCATCATTTTGGATGGCCATGCACCTCTCCATGTCTTTGACAGAGACTCTGTGACTGGTTGTGAGGTCTTGGAGCCCTATGTTTGCCTTTTCTGGGGTGCAGTGGGCTCAGAGTTCATCTTACAGGACGATAACGCAAGGCCACATAGAGATCTTCTGGTCGACAAATTTCTCGAGAGCGAGGATATTCGCCGGATGGATTGGCCAGCCAGGTCTCCAGACTTCAGCTCTATAGAGCATGTCTGGGATGCGCTAAGGAGGGCAATTGCAACTTGCAACCCCCTCCGTGAACCATCCAGGAACTGAAAGCAGTGTTGCTAAATGAGTGGGACCAGTTGGCACAGGCACTGATAAACTGCCTTATATCACACTGCGAGGCCTGTTTGGCTGTAAGAGGGGAACATACCACCTATTAACCCATTTCTTTTGTGTCTTCTGCAACCACTGTTTTAGTCCTTCAGACTCTCGTGAGTGTTGAATGTTTATTTTGTTTGTATTATAGCAACCTATGTGCACACCAAATTTTATTAAAATCTGTTTAGTAGTTCCGGAGATCGTAAATCAAATATAAAAATTCTCTTAATTTCTTTGCTGAGTGTACAATTGGTAATCTGGAGTTATTAGCAGTCTATGTTTATCTGATAGTCAAAGTTCACAGTAAAATGTGATTAAAGAGGCATTCAATTTTAATCTTTTGCTTATTGGGATGTCAAAATTAAATTTGTTAGAAAATTAGTTTTATCTTTATAAAACAAAAGATGTATAACTTTCTTGTCATTTTTGTTCTTTTCTTAATGGGTAGAGAATTCATTTCAAGCAGAAATAATGTAATTAGTTGATATATTTCTAATTTAATTATTTTTGCTATTTTTCTTATAGTGCATCATAGCAAAGTTGCAATATTTTGCTCTTTGTTTGCATTTGATATTAATGTTTACTTATTTATTTTTTAGATGTTGGTTTCAAAAAGTCGCTGGTTACGATGGTTGGTGCGTTTCATTAAGAACAAGAAGGAACCTAAAAATGAATTCAAGAGAATTGAAAAGGCTATATCAGAAGATTATTTATGGCCTCCCACAGACAAACCTATTTATGCATCTGGTCCAATATTGATAGGCCACTGACAATTACTAAGTCATAGTGCCTTTAGCTTTTCAATTCATCTTACATTAACGTTTTTACCAAAACATACAAAGAAACAAATTTTGTGCATCATATTTTCATACACTCTATTGTCCATATTTGGATCTCTGAAGTTCTGTTTGTATTATAGTTGATACGGTTAGTGGTGATTGTTTTATATTGGCGCTTTACTTAAGTATTACTCTAATTAGAATATGTTGATTTTGTTAGTAATTATAAAATGAGGTTTTTAAATTGTGAATTATTACTTTCATTTACATTGAATGTAACAGCAATAATTTTTTTCATCTGTGTTCTCAAATTTTGTATTCTATTAAATCATAAAAATGGTATTTTTATAAAATGAGAAAATTTCAGCTTAATTTGGTATTGCATTTCTTCTGTATCACTGTGCATATGTTTTTGTATATTTAAGATGCCAGCATCAAATTTTTTAACTGCTAGAGGAAAGGTTGAAATGTTTAGCAGTCACCAATATAAGAACCATAACCCTATTCTGTAGTAAAGTTAATGGGACCGAAGTTGTAATTGTTTTCTTCATTGCATGTTTTAAACTATTTGTACATAGTTTTTATGGAATTGCTTTAGTTTTATTTGCAGCACATATTTATATTATTTCCTAATGTGATATTGGTATGAATGAAATTGTTTTGTCTTTTAGTGGTTTTATAACACAAAATTCTACTAATTCACAAATTTCTTTTAAAGTCCTTTTTTTAATTTGAATTTCTTGCCAAAGAAAAGTTTGTTAGAAATTTAAATATGTGATTTTTTAGCTGTTTAATTGGAAAATAAATAGCCCCTTCTGAAAAGGGAAACATAATCACTTATTGTTAATATGTTATGAACCTGTAAATGTTTGTTGCAAAAGCCAGGTTCATTGTTTAATCCAATTATTTATTTCTCATCCTTAGTATTGTCTTGTTTGTTTCAAAATGTAATTTCTGGAAAAACAATTTGCACCAAACTTTAGTCATGGACGGTGAAATGGCTGTTCCATGTCATTGAACTTAAATTTGTGTTGTAAATGTGAGATAAGTATTGTTAGAAGAAGAAAACATATTTGTAAAATATACAACAGACCTAGATGAGTCTAATAGATTTTGTTGTGGGGCTGCTGTGTTTTGTAAATAAAATTAAATAGAAAAAATGGCTACTTTTGTTTGTTTTGTTGAGTTTGTTTGGTTTATTAATTACTAATGGTAACATAATTTCTAATCTGAAGTGAACATTTGATTTGACTGCATAAATATCAGGCTTATACTATGCAAGAATTCTGATAATTCACATCTTAATCCATGCTCATTTTTCAGTTTTAAATAAAAAATTTGATTTTCAAAAAATTCAGTGTTGCAATAAAATGAGTTTTTTTTTTATCTTTGTAACATGGAGGTAGGAAGTAAGATGGAGTGGCTTTAACGGTTTACATACACTGCTTTGAAGCACTGGCCATTCCTTCGTGATGACCAAAACATTGGGTGATTTACCATTAAGATCAGTGGGTTTTGACACGATTGGATGTAAATATTTTCTAATTGTGTTGTAAATATACATATAAATGTATATATTTTCCTTTTTTACAATATTTCAGAGTCCTGAGTATATGAAAAGAATACATTTTTTAAATATTTCATTCTGAATGGGATTAAATGCTATACTTTTCACAGATCGGTGTGCTGAATGGTTTAGTTTGAATGAAATATTTTCACAAGTTTTCGTTAATTACATTAGGAAAAAATTTAAGGTAATTTGGTTAAAGATTACAAAAATTAAGATCAAAGTTTATTGTATTATTAATATTAAAATTATGCATTATTTCTCTTCCATTTATACAGCTTCTTCTTAAAATACTTTCTCAAGTATGGCATGGTTTTTTAACTTTTGAGGCATCTTTTAAATCAAAAAATCTTAATTGATTTATAAAGAATGCTCTATTTGGTCCATTTCAAATTAGAGCACCTTTTATTTTGATAGTGAAATACGTTAAATAGTACTTCACTTTCTCTGAATATTTCTGAAAGGGAATAAAAAAAAGCATTTTTTTTAATATTATCTAAAACTTGTGACTGAGTTATAAAATGTAAGGGACTAATTCTTTTAATTATACTTATAAAATTTTTTTACCCTTAATTTCCACAATACACATTTAAAAACTTTTCTTTAAGTACGAATCTCGCAGAATTTGCTTTGCAATACCTTTTAATAAATTGCTTTCTTGTACAAATAATTCTTGTTTAAATAGTTTTATATGATATTTGTCAGCAGGATTTCAATTTATGTTTACAATTCACTCTTAAGGCTATTATATATTTAGATAATATTTATAATCATTATAAAACTTGGATTCATTTAATAATTAGATTTTTTCAAACTTTCACAAAAGTTTATGAAGGAATTAATCATTCGTTTCAAATACACTAATAAATATCTGTATCTTGTTAAAGGCAGATACATGCTTTTTGCAAGCATATGCATAAATGCCCATACATATTTCATTGTTTTTTTATTTTTGGCATGTGCAAATCTTTAATTTCTGTGCATTCACTATATTTTTCTAGCAAAGTAATTTACAATAATTTAGCATATACCTGAAATTTTTACATAAGAAATGTGTATAAATATAATTTGAATAAAAATTACATGCAGTATTTTTAATACCCACTCAAAGGTCAGTTTTTTTTTCCTCTAAATTCCTCCACGATGGCCCTTGCATGCCTTACTCTATTTAATAAAAACCTAACCTAACCTGACCTATGTGCCTAATTACAAATATTTTAACATGTATAGTTTTATATTTAGCCATCAAGTTTCAAACTTTTGGCTTAAAACACGTTTTAGGACACATTCATTATCAAATTCAAATCTTCTAGTAAATATATTTTGGCAGAGCACTCAATACCTCTTTTAGCGAGTTTAACCAGGTTAATAATTTTCTGATAATGTAATAAATAATAACTAACCATTTCACCTTTAAACATTAACCGCATTGTCAACAGATCACAATCTTGATTGCCTTTTTCTGCATAATATTACTTCATTGGCCGAATTAGCAAATGTATCTGTCTTCTGTTCCACACACTTGTGTAAAATTGTAAATAATTTGACAAATGTGTGGTTAGAAATTAAGGAAAAGTTAACTTATTCGCATATCTTTGTGTATATTTATTAATTTTGACTAGGAGTTCAGCATTTGGTGGTAATTTTATTTTTTAATTAACCCAAATAAGTAAAACTTGTAAGCCTTAAAGCGATTATTTTTCAGTTTCATAAAAATAAATTGATGATTTTAAAATGAGCAACTATAAAGCCTCTCAGCGAAAATTTTTAAAAAGTACGTTACAATAATATGTGAATGTGACAAAAAATTATTTTATTTAAAACATTTTGGGGTTTGAAGCATAAAATAAAAGTAGTGAATACTCTATCAAGGGTGTCGAAAGACATATATAGTTTTAAAGGTACAGCAAGGTATTTTTTGCATAACATTTTTGCTAAAATCTATATTTTTGGAGTTCAACAGCTTAGAATTTTATAAAACAAATTCATAATCAAAATTGCTGTTGTTAGTTATCGAAAAATGACCAAGATGTGATTTTGGCGTAAATGTCACTAAACTATGCAAATTGCTATCATCCATCACACAATGAATGTTTCCTTTATGGGAAAGGAATTTGCAATCAATTTTCCATTTGTATGGAACTGTCGTGTGTGGAAATATCAAAGCACTCTCAAGTGAGATTCTGGATGTAAACAAAGAACATCCCATCAGGAAACTGAAGCCTCTGAGCAGTGCTTCACTTGTAGTGCCAGTTTGGCCCCTCCTTCCTTTCTTACCTCCATGGTATGTAAGCAATTAATTTTGATTTGGAAGATATGTGGATTTTTTTTTCAGATATCTGTTAATTAATTATTCATGAATGAAATCTAATATGGTGCAAAGTTCGAAATCCAGACGTCCATTATCCAGAATGATCTAAAATCCGGACATTAAAGCCACAAACATTTTTTTTATTAACCCATTCCCTGCCATGATCCCCATATGGAGATCGCCTACGTTTGTATACATTGTGACGTCATACTGCACCTGGGTGATCCCTTACGGGTGGTTATGCTTTCCTGAAGATTGCAACTAAGGGTAGAAATCTTAAACAAACACAAGGATTCAGTTAGTTAAGCTCACAAGTTTATTTTTCTTGCTCTCTCATTACTTTTCATGAGAAAAATAATACGGTTATTTTCAAATCATAAAAAAATTACTTAGGAACTATTTTTTTTTTTTTTTTTGTACTGAATTTCCCTTGATCATTGGTAAGTAATTAATGTATTTATATATGATTTATCCTCATACTGTAATTTTGTTGGGTACAATGAACCTAGATATATCAATCCCCATTTGGAGATCATGGCTGATACTAACTAAAATTGTAAAAAAAAAACTGCTTTTCTTTTTTTCCAGGAAATGTTGCGTAAAAGATATCGTTCTTTAAAAGAAATTGTAAATTCTGATGATTTTTTTGCATGTGACGATAATAGCCGCATAGATATTGTTGAAATTCCACCAGAGCAGGTTGATGAGATTTCAAATAATGAGGACGTGGATGACAACGTAATTGATGATGAAGAACCACTTGATATTCCCGGGTCTGTCAAAATTCACCATGTGGCAGGATTTGAGGAAAATGTTTTAGTGACTGCAACTGAATCTTCAGCAAATAAAGTAACAAAAGGTACCGGCTTACCACCTGCTAAAAAGAGAAAAGAAGTATTGACTTCCAATTGGAAAAAAGAAGCAACCTAAGTACTCGAAACTATATGAAAATTCTGACGTTATAGAGACAAGGCGAAATGATGTCATTAGAAAACTCAGGGAAAAATCCCCGGTAGAGTGTTTTGAAATACTTTTTGATAATGAAACTGTCACCTATATTGTCCAGCAGTCTGTAATATACGCCAGACAGAAAAACAATCATCAATTTCAGCTTTCTAATAACTGCCTAAAAACATTTATTGGAATACTTCTTTTCACTGGCTATCATTCACTTCCGCAAGAACAATTATATTGGTGTGAAGATGAAGACATGAACATTCTGTGTGTTAGAGCATGCATGAGTCGGAATAGGTATCTGGAAATTAAACGGTACCTACATATCAGTGACAACTCCGATTTAGAAAGGATTCCACTAGGTGAACGTGATAACCTCTTCAAGATTCGCCCATTGATTGACAAGCTGAATGACAAATTTCAACAATTTGGGGGTGTTTTCTGAAAGTTTGAGCATTGACGAACAAATGGTTCGTTACTATGGACATCACTACCTCAAACAATTTATACGTGGTAAGCCAGTGCGGTTTGGGTTCAAACAATGGGCTATCTGTTGTTCACAAACTGGATATTGTTATCAGACTCAAGTGTATGAAGGCAAATCAAAGAAATTAGGAGATGATGAAAGCATCAGTGGGCTTGGGACATCTGTTGTCCTTCAGATGGTATCTATTCTTCAGACACCAAATGCTCATAAAGTTTACTTCGACAATTTTTTCACAGGATTTTCTCTGATGAAAAATTTGCAGGACATTGACGTTAGAGCAACAGGAACTGTTCGATTCAAGAGAATGAACAAATGCCCTATTGCAACAGACAAAGAGATAAGGAAAAAAGAACGCGGGGCATATGACTACAGATTTGATTCCCGTAATGAAATTTAGCTGTCACGTGGAATGACAACAGTTGTGTAAGGCTTCTGTCTAATCATGAAACTATCGAACCAATATCAGAGGTGAAGCATGAAGCGATGGAGTAGAACAGAGAAGAAAGATATTCAAGTACCACAACCCAAACTGATATCAGAATATAACAAATACATGGGTGGAGTATACAAGATGGATTGGAATGTTCAAAAATACAGAATCAGAATAAGGGGGAAAAAATGGTATTTTCCTTTGCTTACTAATGCCATCGACGTAACACTGGTTAACGCCCACGCACTGTATTGTATTTCAAATGATAAAATTCCATTGCTAGATTTTAGGAGGATGGTTGCTAGAGGATATCTTTCTTTATCTTCAGAACTCTCAGATGCAAAAAAGGATGGAAGGAATTCTTTCACTAAAGCATCAATTAATCGTGTTCCTACTGTTATCAGAACATCTGGTG